GGATGATTTATGGACAGGCCGGTTTATATTCAGGACGAATTTGTATCTACCGTACGTTCACTATGGTAGGCACGGAAATAGCGTCACACGTACCGCTTTCGACGACAGCTGTGTTTCGAGAGTGCATTCAACTTGGTGAATCGCTCCATGCTCTTCGACACATTTCCTCGCAAGGGTATTCCATCAGATGTGATGTTTCTACGTGTCCTGTACTCAAACACTGCTGATCCCTTCATAGTCAACGGTAAATTATCAGGCAACTCTCTACTAATAAGTGACATCCGCCGGATGTTGCCCTATTTTCCAATTTTTGTCTAGTTTTCTCGCGGATTCCAACATTATGTGTTCTCTCGATGTGAGCATTGAAATGCTAGCTGGGGGAAATTATTTTTTTTGGATTATACGGACGACATGGTCTTGCTGTTTGACAGTAGCGAAACGGTACAGTCTGTCTTGGATCTATCCTCTGAAGTGTTCCCACCATTTGTATGCACTTAGCAACTACAGCTGTTTGCGAACCTATTGGCTGTTATTGACGAGGAACTAGAAGTTGTTGACCAATTCACTTATCTTGGTGGCTGCATTATTAACTGGTTGGCCTATCGCTACAAAAGCTAGAATCGTCTACTTAAACCTTCGACAGATGGAAATTCCCCTGTCCGAACGACTGTGCGTACTAGACCGCAGTGGGAGCTGTTCTACTGTACAGTAGTGCCAGTTGGCGCCTTCCGTCAGAGGAGTTGAGACGCCTTCAAGTTTCTGTTCAACATTGTCTGTGAAGCATTGCTGGTAGCGCCACTCCCTTTAAGGAAACCATGGATTAATCTAAATTGTTCTGTTTCTACAATAACTGTACCTTTCTTTGATTCCTATGGTTTTTACTACCTTCATGGTGCCTGAGCGTTTGCCACACCGCGGCCTATTCGCTTATTTAGCACCGTGGTCAGCCTTTCATTTGGCGACTACACATGAAATCGCTGATGTCACGTCTAGCTGCCGTTTGATCCGTACGTCTTCCCCGATGGGATCTCACAGTTGACGAGTGCCAGTGGCTTATCACGCAACTGGAATCAATGGAAGGACCGTGTACAGAATTGCGTTGTTTCATATGTCGAATGTCTCAAACATTAAAAACCTCAAAAAGTAAGAAAATCGACTTAGGCTAATGTTTTGTACTTTCCTTTGATTTCCTTGGTTTTTTCGGGGCCTGTAGCCCGTTCCACACGAGATGTATGTGACCACTCTTTAAGCCTAGCACCTTCACAAGGACTGTGCACCGAGTCCCCTCCATCAATGACCAACTGTCATTTTGTCAGTGTAATCGAGGTTACTGTTTTTCTATAGGTAGACACTTTTCACATCAAGCGCAACTACACCGAAGATATCAAATGACCGACATAGAATACGAAAGAAGTAAATTTACAAATAGGACAGGAAATGTGCAGCTGAATGACAGCACAGAGCAACTCGACAAAAGTGCGTTAAGTCCGATCTAGTGAAAATATGATCTTCGGCAATGGTAAGCCAGAAGATATCAACCGACTAACATGAAGAATGCAAGGAAAATAAACGCGCAAAATAAACAAGGAATATGCGTACGATTAACGGAACTGAGCGAATAAAATCAAATGGATTCAATGCAGTATAGTATATTGCGGAACAAGCGCAAGTGTAAGTCACTCTAGCCTAACTGCTTTGAAGAAATATAATAAATGCTATATAATGCAATGAAGGGCAGTATAATATATACAATATAGGAAATGCGTGCGTTTGTAGTCTTCGTCTTCTTACTGCGCTTTTCAAAATATAGGCTTTGTCAATTCTTAGTGTGCTAGAAATTTCTTGACCCAGGACCGTAGCTCGGCTGGTTGGGGCGACTTGCTGACGTTTCCTATCTATGGATGCACCGGGCTTTATAGGCAATTTTGGCAATCTAGTTCTTGATGGTTTGGCTACTTAGGCTATCCGTTCGAGCAACGTGATCTGGTTTGTGCGAAACAGCATGAACAAATGGATGGCGATGCAAATTGCGCGTGGTGACATCGAAGTTGGGCGCTTTGATGCGTCTGTTAGCTCCTTGTTGACATTTCTGCCCAATCAGCACTTCCGTATCACATACCGCCTATAACTGAGGGTGATCTGTTCCATTTTAATCCATGACGGATTATGTTTTTTTGCACCTCGATGCGATTACTTGTGTGCGAATGATACACAGTTGCTGAAGGCTCCATGTTTGCTGTGACAAGCATTGACTCAAAGACGGGTTGTGCGGCTGCAGGTCTTCCTGGTACTCATGTCACCAGCATCAATGGCAAATCTTGTTTTGGCCTCTATACTGCAACCGATGGGAATGTATTACGAAACAGTGCAATGCTTGCATATTTTTATCAGCCATCCACTTGCTCTATATGCAGCTTTGAAGTCGAATCAGCCCTGTATGATTATTTACTGAGATTTATTCTGTTAGAGTGCTTTGTTTGTCTCTCAGAAGTGACTCTGTAACTGTGAATCTCCTGAGTCATGAATGCAACCTTACCAAGAGTGTGCGCAACATATTCGTTTGAATTTTATGTACTCCTTAGCACCGTTGCGCAGAATCGAACAGTATTTGTAGCTTACCTGTCCTGGTTGTGGTTGCAATTCCATGGTTCGTCAGTGGGCGAAATACTACCCGGTTGCCCCGCCCCGAGCCTTTGATTAAGGATCTAACTTACAAGGCAGCAGGGCGATATGAGAGTATCGCAACCCGTTGAGAGCCGGTGACCAAACAAGTGGTTCATACGCCTTTACGACCGCATAGGACCAGGGGCTCAACAACCTTTGAATTACATTGCCACTCAGAGTGCGGCAAGGGGCAGTGACTTCATTTAGTGGCGAGTCACATCCGCCACGTCACAGTGTTGTTAAACGGACATATGTGGCTTTTTATAGGGAGAACGCTTGCCAAGCGTAAACCCATCACGTCCTGGAGATGAAGTCTCACAACTGCTTTCAAAGACCCGCCTTGCATTCGTCAAACTGCGACACCTATGACGTCGTCGTGATGTCAGTCTGGAGCTCAAGGGCAGGGCGTACAATGCTTCCGTCCATGCAGTACTCTTGTACGGCTATGAGACTTGGCCTATTCGCTCGGAAGGCATGAAGCGGCTGTCAGTCTTCGACAATCGCTGTCTACGAAGGATTGCTCGGGTGTGATGGCAACACCACGTAAGCAAGGCAGAGGTGCGAGACCATGTGGTAGGAGCGAGTAGTGCCAGTCTTCAGGACGTTATTCTCCGACATCGCATGCGTTGGATCAGGCACGTTTTGCGCATGCCAGCCCATGGCCTTCCCCGTCGAGCGCTATTTGCACTCCCAGGGAGCGATTGGAAAAACCCCGCGGTGGACAACCAATGACGTGGAGAAGGAGCATGAAGAAGGCAAGCTCAAGTTTGGCGGCAGTCGGACCAGCTCGTCTTCCAGGTTGGGGAACCACGAGATGCTGAGTCTCAGGGCTTGGAAACGTTAGACGTCATGGCCCGCAACAGAGATCAGTGGCGTCAATGTTGTTCTACCATTATATTAATACACACAAAAAACACAGAACAGAAATAAAAGTTCAAAATGGCGTGTAAAGCCAAAAAAATCGTTTTCCATTTTTAAATCGCAGTTCCTGTTTCTATCTTCGCCACTCTTCTGCCATGGTTCTGATGGCACAGTGTCTGTTAACAGACTGAATATATATATATATATATATATATATATATATATATATATATATGCCCCATGCTGAGGCTGATGTTGCATTCTTGATGCTTCTTCACCGCAGTTGGGCTAAACCAACTTACATTTAAACTAGGTCTCTTTAAGCTGGATACATTTCATTCCAGTTTATTTGGTTTGTTTTGCCTACCTGAATAATGTTCTATTAACTGGCCACGTTGCTTACGCTAATTGCGCTTATCTTCGGTAATTTTGTTGCGTTTGTAGCATTTTTAAGTAACTTGTGGACATTTCTTACTTATCGCGGATTCGTTGCTAACCAACTTACTTCATATGGTAATTTAGGGAAGAGTTGTGCCACCGTATCTGTATGCATTATTGGATTTATTTTATTTCAGCTTGTCGTTTAAAGTGAATGGCTGTTGCTTGATATCCCCGGTGTGGCTGCGCATGATGTGCATATTTACAAGGTGCCTACCTATCTATTACCCACTATCTCGTTCATACTGGCTCCAGGAGACAGTTGGTCGTTGCTGGAGGGGACGGGGTGTACCGTGCTTGTGGCCGTGCTAGGCTCAAAGAGCGGTTCCATGTACTTAGTGTGGAGCGGACTACGGTCCAGCCACCGCCTTGTTTGCGCTTCAGTCCCCAAATACAGTGTGCTTGTGTTTGTCTGTGAAGAAGTGTGGGCCGGCTCCGTTGATGGAATGTGGCTCCCATCCACATGCGTCCCGGTCTTATTCCTTCGAGTTTACACAGGATATGGGGTGTGTGGTTGGAGCTGTGGGTGGTGCAGCACAAGCCACACATGGTCCCTCTGTAGGCGCAGGCGTCGTGTGGGTGGCCACAGTGACAGGCAAATCCGAAACCGGATGCCGCCAACCATATATATATATATATATATATATATATATATATATATATATATATATATATATATATATATATATATAAAACCTGAAGTCACCATTTCTTCAGCCTGAGTGGCACACGCATTTCCCTTCTCTTTTTGTCCTGTGTGCTTTTAGTGTACAACAGATGTGTATTCTCTATCCCCGAATGGATGTAACTATTTGTTCGCATTGACCTGACCGAAGTATCGCCCTATATTATGATCCTACCTTTTTCGATGAACAGTTTACTGATTAGACCGTCTTTCTGTTCCGTCGACAAATCCCGTCCGGTTTTTCCGTTCATCATCTTCACTGTCCTTTGATAGATGGAACTGGTTTCCATTTCTCTCCTGTGAGCTTCAGCGCACCATTCTCTAATTGCGTCTCACTATTTCGTTTTTGTAGGCTGAAACGATGGTAACCAAGCAGCAGGGACAGATTGAACATTTAAGCCAGCAGTTAATGAATGTGGAGGCATCTCATCGCATTTTGGAAGAGGAACGGGACCAATTATTGTCGCGACTTCTCGATAAGAAGAAGTATGTTCCCTTTTGTTTCTTCACTCAGCACTGCGACTGACTTGTGAACTATGTAAGTATGTTAGACACTAAACCCATTTGCGAAGCATTGTCGGAATACTGACGCCTTGCTCTTGCTCTTTCTGCCGCATAGTAGTTATGAAATTCGTTGTGATTTCAATCCTCTTCAGATAATAAGTCAATCTCTACTAATCTCCCAGTATTTGACGCTTCTTCGATGAGTAATTTCACTCTGGTCGCAACATTCGATTCTTATTAGTCTTGGTTATTTTACACTACTCTTCCTACCCGATGTTTATGAGTTATCATGCTAAATCAGTTTTTCACATTTTCTCCACTTGACATCGTTGCTCGTCAGTATTATTCTTAATTGCTCCTTTTATCTCCATGTATACTTATCGTCAGCGATGTCGGAAGGGGGCGTCTCATCATCACATTGTATCCTAGGTGACATCGAGACCATTTCCCGCAATTCACTTAGTGACCCTACTCGACGTTCGTTCGCTTGTCACCAAGTCCGACCCGACTCGAAATCAGCACCATCATTGTATCGTTTTGCATTAGACTGAAGATTTCGCACTCATAATGGATGCACAAAAACCGTCAACGATAGCATCGTTCCCTTATGGACAAAAGCGGTGCGAGTTACGCTGTTCCGCGCTGAACAATTTGGCCTGCGGGATAAACGCAGTTCGTGTACCATTACTTCTTATTTCAGGTGATGTCAGAGAGGTTATCCATTTGTCTAGTATCTTTGACGTCTCAGCATATACACTGCGATGGTTTCTTTTACACCGATCTGACCCACGGCAACTGAGTAACCGCCTGGCATGTGCCACTATGTGTACACTCAGCGACTGGTGCACGTCCTGTTAACCGGTTCTCTGACTTGCGCATCGAGTGTTCTTATGTCTTTCGGAGTCTGAGATTACGTTTCCAAAGCACACAGTGTTCCGCCACATTTGCCACGAGCTGCGAAAACATACATATTCACCGCATCCATTCGGTGCGCTATTTCACAACTATTCATTAACCATACTAACCAAATGTGCAACAAGACATGTTGCAGGTGGTGTGTTACAGCATGGTATTGCGGAGCCGGTTACCAGCATCTCAGTCGAGGAAAGCAATGGTAGAGAACGAAGATAGGGAGCAGGGTTTCATAGACTCATGTTACCTCTCTGGAACTCGCTCGCAGCACTCCAGCACAACCCTACCACTAAGATCATTTTCCTGTACTACCACGGCACAATCACATTACGCTTCTCCATTTGTATGACTGATGAAGCCACGAGCCATGCCAGTGGTGGATTTGCGTTAAGTACGTGCAAAAGCAACGCTGCTTGTTTAGATACCAGTTAACAACCGACTATGCGCAAATCGACTTGCAAACTCCGTCCGGTCGTTCAATCATTACGCTGTCAAACGTTATTTGTTTTAACACATGTGCTCCCACGGATTACAGGCTGGACTCAGCTAAAGATGAGTTCCACCATCAGCTCTCCGATCTTCACCATAGGAGGTGTCGCGTGGACATCTTGGTGTTCGCCGAGGACTTAAGCGCACAAGTCGGTAGACTCGAAGCTATGAACACGAACTTGGAGGTCTGCATGGCCACGGCATTCGCACCGTTACCGATGACTCAGCCGGCATGCCACTGTCTTATGTTTGTATTATGTTTGTATTGCAGCACAATAGCTGAGGTGTTTTCCACCTGGAGTTAACGTGTGTAATGATTTCTCTACGCTTTGAATCGACTTCTGTTATTCAAGACATGTGAACCATTCAAGTCATCTCTTCCGATTGGAGCTTAGCGCATTTCGTACTCGCCTTCAGAAAGGTGACTGAACAGATTGCGCCAACTATTGGGGGAGCAGCCGCCCATGCGCTGCTTTCAGAGCGCTCGCTCAATCGGGTGAGCGAACAGAACACACGTGAAGAGCAACCTGAGTTTCACTCAAGTCGGAGCTGTATAAACCACATCTCTACGATCAGCTAGATCAGCCATTCTCAATGGGGGCCATTTGCCTCCCTGGTGGTCATAAAGAATTCCCGGGGAGCCCTGGGCTGATAAAATTTTCTACGGGGGCCATAGGGGGCCGTGCTCTGAAAAGTGGGTTGTGATAGCACAAATAACAAAATTCATTTTAAAATAATTTTCTAATAATTTCTCTCCGCGCACTAATCCCCACTAGTAACTACAGGTCAGTGAAATGAATTACGCGCGCGCACCTGCTTGTTTACGAAGGTGTATAAGCCAGGCCTAGTCGACTTTCTGTTGCGGAACTGGCATAGCCCCGTCAAACTTGCGCAGATTTCACCGGGCTCACCTCAAACATACAATCATCAGACGGCTACTTAGACTGCGCAACTAACACCCGGTTTGACCTCAGCACTTTGATGCCTATCCACAGTGAATCAACTGAGCTTTACTCAGAACACTGATGCATCTATTGTGCAAGCTGCAGTGAACCTAGCGAACTCTCGTCAGTACACTGCGGCAGTTACGGCACAAAGCCACACTAACTGAGTTTTCCTCAGGACACTGACACTGTGTGACAACTCACGTGCCAATCAGTCTTCTTCGTTCATGTCTTACTGCGGTAGCGCTAGGTCATGCGATTTTCATCTCTGGTCTCAGCTGGCAGTGTTCCACTAGTCTGTGTTTTTAATGGTTATAAGGAAGGAGTTTTAGAAAATTATTGGTGTGAACACACATTTAACTGACATTTTGAATGATGGAACACTACCGTCTCAGCTCGCGTATACGTTTGGCTGCAGCCACGTTAGCCCGCAGGTTTTCGTATTCGAGTGGCTTCTCTGCGCGCGTGGGGTACCATCTTACGGGAGGATATCCGGTTGCTTTGGTGGGTATATATAACATAATGTGTACATAAAGATACCTCATTATACTTATAGTAATCAAATGCCTTGCCAGCACGCATTTGGCGCCACGTTTGGCAATAGCTGATGTACGTTGTTCACTTCGATGAACAATGAACAATAATTTATCACGGGCAAAATAAGCATGTGCTTGATAAGTCCCGTAGGATGGTTAAAGTAAAAATTTAAATTTAAAGGATCATCGAATAAGTAAATCGTTATTTTAAGTGTCTACCGATTTAGATACACTACTGCATAACGATACTTTGAAGTGGGAATGGGATGTGCACACACAAGATAGTATAAAGTGCCGTTATAGTTCAGTAAATGCGTGAGAAAGAAAAATGGAAACGACAACGCTCACTCGTAATGCAAGTTAGAAAGCGTTTCATCTAGGCGTTTTTTGAATAGCGTTAATGTAGGGGCAAGGATAACGTGAGTCGGAAGGGCATTCCAAGCACGGGACACACGGAGGGCAAAAAGTTTCATCGACAATCAAGCCGACTGTGGTGCGTAGCCAGTTCGAACTGATGGCCTCTCAGGTTGGTATTTTGGCTTAGCTGCAACAGATTGCGACATGGGTAAGTTGGGTTCGTCAGTATTAAGTAAACCATGATTAGTTCTCTTAGCTGACTTCGATATTCACCAATGTTCAATCTCAGGGTCTGCATTGGTAGGAGAGATGAAGCAATCCTCTAAGGAGTTTGGTCGCTCTACGTTGTAGGGCTTTGTGTGCATCGACGTCGCGCTTGCGCCAGGGACACCGGGCCTGGATCGCATATTCCACGTGAGGCCTCACGTAGGCATTCAGCATTTTCGGAAAGCTTGATGGCTCAAAATTCCAGAAAGCCTTCCTTAAGAGTCCAATATGTTGACTGGCTCTTTCTGATGCCTTTTCAGCCTGTCTCGAGCAACCAAGATCGTCCTGCACGATCACCCTGAGGTCGTTCTCTTGGGAAGCACGTTGTAACTGCTGGTCCCCAAGTCGATATTCATGGGGAAGCTGATAGCGTATGCTTACGACTCTTTGCACTTGATCACGTTGAACTGGAGCTGGTTGTCAAATGACCACGCCTAAGCTCTGTCGAGATCGCTTAGCAATGCCATGTGATCATCCGATGTCCTGATATCATGCCAAATCTAACATCATCTGCAAATAGTAAGAAATTCGACTGCACTACACTGGCAAGATCGTTAATGAATGTGAGGAATAAACATGGCCCCAGTACCGATCCATGGGGCAGTACCGATCGTTGTTGACACTCCCATGCCGATTCCCTGAACTATCCGGCATTTGCTTCCATGTTTGTCCTTTCTGTCCTTCACTGTTTGCCACAACTTTCCTGTAATGTTTCTTTCTCTAGGGCGTATTTCCATTTTCTGAGTTTCATTTATTTTCCTCATCAGCTGTTGTCACGAATTCTTCTTCTCTCATTTTAGCCATCCACAATATTTTCAGAGCCATCCTCAGAAACCACCTTTGGTTGCCCTCTAATAGCGTTTCTATACCTATACATTTCAACATTGTATCCACCAACAGATGTTACAAGTACGCTAGCCAAACGCCTTCTCTTATAATCTCACGGTCAAGCAAGAATAAATTTAGTGCCACCAATTATTAATACTACCTAAGTTTTTCGCCTTGTCGAATGCTGATATAACTGTAAGAATATTAAAACAATGGCAGTCTACGTATATTACATTAACAATTTACAACGACATTCCAGAAATGATCTCGGTAACGAGCAAGTTTCGACAGTACTCCGTAGAATACCTGTCATTTGGATTCATCGCATCACTTCAAAACCCCAGTCTACCTATGTGATAAATTTGTCAAAACATTCAAATGAAAGTTTGCGACCACATAAGCTATTTGGAAAATATTCATATGGACGAAAGCCTAAAGTCTGTGGATTTTTTTAGTGAGCTGCGAGATAGCTTCGAAAATATACCAACTTTAAAGACAATAGTTTTGACGGGGCAAGAATGGCAAATGGACTTACAGCGTCTTATAAAATCAGCAAATTGATTGCCAAAAATTGCAGTCCACGTGATGTGGGAGAAAATATTATCTTGCCTTCAGTATCAATAATACTGTCGAGCCTGATGTATACGAATCCACAAGAAGCACTTTCAGCCATTCTGCTCAGCAACTCAACTGTATGTAGACGAATAGATGACATGACTCGGGACATAGAAAGCACCTTAGTTACCTTACTACAGGCCAGCAAATTTCCTTCACGAGTAGATAAACCTACTTTATCTGATAACGACACTTCTGGCGGCAAATATTCGATTCTTCAATTGTAATAAATTAATGGAAGAAATGTTGCTTGCCAGAATAAATAAAACTCAGACAAAGGGCCATTCTATATTCGAGGTAGTCATTGACTATCTGCCTGAAAACCCTACTACAATACAAAACAAGGTTGCAAGTGCAACAGGTGGTGCTGCCTCAATGGTCCGAAGATAGAGAGGACTCATCGCCCATCTAAAACATTTTCTCCCTTCTGCTCATACTTATCACTATATGATTCACTGGGAGCACCTAGTTGCTAAGACCGTGGAAGGACGCCTAAACGATCCACTGTCTACATTTATAGTAGTAGTTAACAATATCAATCTGCAACCTTTTCAAGATTGTCTTTTCCAGTAGTTGTGTGAGAAACACAGTGAAGATTTCTAGCTTCTACTTTTGCATACATAAATTAGATAGCACTCTAAGCGCAACTGTATTCACCGTTTTGTTGTACTCTGGGATACCCTCATCACATTCTTTCTGAAACTGATTATGAAAGAAACTGTGTGCAGCTAAGCCAGATGTGTTTTATCTAGTTGATGATTTCGAAAAATCACTTATTGAATAAAACTCTTCAAAGCAAGTTGAGTAACCTCATCTCGAGCAAACAACTCGCTTTTCTTTAAAACTTGGAAGTATATGCTCAGAACATCGGACGTCGGGAATTTTCACCATTCCCAATTGATTGTTCATACCAGTCATGAACAAGAACTCCGAGAGAAAGAGTGGTTTTATGATCAGATTGACATGGAAATCCAGATTTTAATTTTGGATCCATTTGATGTACAGCCCTGCGATGTTGGAGCTGAAATTCTGTAAAGTCTCGTTGAGCTTAAGAATGACGCACTAGCAAGATCCAAATTTCCACTATATAAGAGGGATTTTTGTATATGCTGATGCTCCAGGCTATGGGAAATAGTTGACATATATTCCCCTGCTTTTCCACCCACATACATGGTTGCATGTAGATTCAGCAGACTGGTTTCTCTAACAAAAACTAGAAGGATATTTGACATCACAGCAAGACATCCCACTCTCACTGTCAAGTCTGGAGCCGGACGTAAACAAGCTTGCTCAAGGTCATCAGGCTCAAGACTCGCTTTTCATAACCAGTAGATCGGTTCAAGTGGAAAAGTTTGCGGAGGTCCCCGAGGAGGCCTCATAATCCATCTCGATGACACGCTGCGTCCGTCATGCTTCTCGTCTTTCTAAAAACTACTCGAGTTCACTTTAGTGGCCCTGCGTAGTGATCGATTTAGAACATCTCGAGAGTTGATCGACGGGTTGCAAGAAACTAGGGAGATCGTGCGTAGATCCAGTGGTTGTTGTGACCATGGACTCAGAGTTGTACTTGGTTCTGCGTTTGTGTATTCAGTGCGTCTCAATATCTGAGAATTTGATACTCTTGATGTCTGAGACCAACGCATCTTGAACGTTGCTAAGAACGTTTGGAGCAGAGCGCTACGTTAAGCCCTTTTCGTCGACGCTGTTGTGTTGCACCAAAACGTACAGCGTTCCTAGCGCGTTATTCAAAGGAAAGTCGCTACTCCAACTTGTGATACGTAGTCATTTCTGTAACATCGCCTGCGGTACGTGATGAAGATGTGGTGAATCTGCGTCCACCACTGGCCAGGTGATATGGGCCTTTGGATAGCGCGTTGATACCAACGGGGTCGGAAGCTTGTATTCAAGCAAAATAGTCCATAGCCGCTCAGATGAAATAAGCGGTCAGCATAGTCTCTCTTATGGATACCATAATCATACTGGTCATCAGGTTCACGTTCATCAACTAATATGTGCGTTTACTTCTCTGTCAAGCACCACGTTCTACGTGCAGCACTATTTTCGGAGAAGGTCGGGGAACGGACAGTTGAGCTCTAATTGCATTTGGATCGCACTGTGTCGCATCACTTGCCGTTGCAACGAACAAAGTACATCTGCTGTCTCCGCGGCTGAGGTTCATATTGTGGTTTATAGTCCAATCGCTCATTGTCTGCTATCTACGGGGTTTAAGTTGAGTAACCGTGCCCCAGCTATTGCTCTTGACGCATTCCACAAGCTGGTATGACCAGTGCTCTTGGCTGTCGCATTTCTATATACATACCAGGTGAGAATGCCAACAGGGTATGGACACTCCGAAACTAGTCATACCGTCTTGTTGGAGTCCTTTATGCAGGTTCCGGTGGTTTCTAGAGCGTGAGCAAGGACCCCCTGTAGTCCAGTCTGCATCCACGTCCGAACATTAAAGGTAGCTATCTCAAATTGGGAACGGGGCGTTAGAACAGTACTACGATGCATCTGGACGGTACATCCTCGGAACCAACCTTATGCGTGCAGCGATAGCTCTCGCCCAAGGTCGCACAGCGTTGTGGACTTGAATAGAGATGAGGTTTCCGATGATGGTAACCTGAACTAACGTGAAATAAAGTAACTGGTAGATGCTGCGGTAGATTGTGGTTTAACAAGTTCGGCCGCTGGCAACTTGACCTAGGGTAGCATTTCCAGAGACAGTGGGTGGAAAATCTCTGCAACATTGGTTCATAGATTATGTGGGCATAGAGGTTCTCATCTGTCCTGACCATCGAAGTTGTTCATCCGCCTTCCGTCATGTACTCACTTATAGTTGCATATGTGATCTCATTACCAGTCACGTTGTCTTTGACTTGGCGCCATACGAGCTCTTGTGGTATTTCATGAAGAACGAAGTGATCAGCTCAGAACCCCCACTTTCTAAGACACGGCGGCTGATTGTTCCACCTGCGGACAGCTGGGACTTATTCATAGTTATCTGCACACGAAGACATTCCTTGATCCATAACTTGGGGGTGCACCGGTAGCGTGCAGCTGCACCAAATCAACTAGTGGTCTGTTGCATCATCATCCTTGGTACACGTTAGCCGAAGGTGAGAAACTCACTTCAGTTAGTGTACCGCAATACGGGGGTACGCAAACTATCGCAAACTACCCCTGATTGCTAACTTCCAGCCTCTACGATGGTAAGAACCGTGGTATTTTCAATTCACATTATGCGAATAAGCGGTCATATTTAGTGATTGTACTTCATTGATTACTAGAGCACAATTCAGTATCACGATAATAGATGCAAAGTAGAATCGCCTTTCGTCAAGCTCCTTGGCGTCATCCGAGCGTTTATGTGTAGGTCGAACTTGAAATGGCGCAGTTCATGAATTCCAAGGCTCTGTTTTTTGTATCTAAAACTTGGGCCTTTTCGTCTGCAGTCCCGACTCCTTGTAACAACTGCAACAAATGACTGCACGTATCTTTTTGCGGCCCCTAATGAACATGTTCCTGATCTCTTTTGTTGAAGACATACTGACGGACCTTGCGCCATCGTTACTCGACCTCCAAGCCACCGTTTTTTTATCCTGCTGCCATTGATTCGAACTCCCTGTTACTGATATAGACCATCCTGTTCCGAACTAGTCATTTTGGTGCACTGACACTGAATCAGTTCCATTAGCAATATTTAAACCATCATCTTGAGTGCAGCTGGCCTTGCCGCACCTTCTGTGCAGTGCCTTCTGTGTTTTGCAAGTATACGTCCGCATCCATAATTGCGCTCTCACTCAACCATCCATCCGTATTTCGGCTGGTATCGTAGTGCTGAGAGGGTTGTCCTTTTCACTATGAGCTCATACTGCCGTTGTGCGCTGTTCATTGTCTCACTGTTTGATGCTGTGGCTTCTAGCTTTCTCTTTAACCATATACACTGCTCTCCCGGTACCCACTTCCTACTTATGTTTGCACACGTGTACTCGATCTCTGTCTGTGGCGTTGGTCACCCAGCGACACTTTTGTGACCGATGAACCCCTTAAGTGTGATCCAATTTACATGGCAGTTTATTTATTTATTTAGTCTACTGCGGACTCTCGCGATTCCAGATTTTCGGTTTCCAAATATCAATCGCGTTGTTAACTCAGCTTTAAACAAGGGCAATGTGCAGCTTCTTACTCTCCTAAACACACAGTCTGTCCGCAATTACGCGAAATACTAGTATCTCAGGTTGGTTGTTCATCGTTTGCGGCGTTCGCCGAGCTGAGTATTATTATTGCATCCATCTTTGAACCTAACTCTTACTTTCATTTTCTTCGAAAATACCAACTCTCTTGCACCCCGACTGGTGGCGCAACGTTTGCAATCAAGTTGCCCAACTCGACGAACACAACAACCAGTACACAATGCTTGTTTGTCCTATCCCCAATAAGATCGGCCAACCCGCCAAAATGCTCACTTTACCCCTGATTACTACTCTAATGTCATGCATTTCCTCCATATACATGTTCAATCTTTTCGATGGTATTCCCATAGGTAAGATTCATAGGTTTTCCTTCAGCTGCTTCTGCGCAATCGCTCTTGTTCGTCTTCCTGTTTTCTACTGTGTTTGGTCTTCATTGTCTGTAAATGTATGCTTTATCGTTTCCTCACCTTCGTCATTCATACAAGAGCTTTGGAGGACTTGCAATTCCGCATGGAAGAAGAAAAGATAACCAAAAGCACTCTGGAATGCATGAACGCGGAAGATGAGTCAAAGATATTTGAATTAGAAGAAGCACTGATTAGTGCACGTGAAATCAACGAACGCACTGAAGCTGAACTGCATCGGTTGCGAGCCGAGCTTGCCACTGCTTTATCTCGGCATGCACAGGAAGATTTGATTCCAGATCCCTCTGAGGTATGTGACACATTTTAAACTCCTCTGTGCAGACAACAGTTCAGACATCACCTCACGAAGAGAAAATCGAAGATCCTTTGAATTTCACTCCGCCCAAGACAAAGGTATTTCTGCCCACATTATCGCACATCTATAAGTGCCACTACGTTTTGTTTCAGGCTAGTTTGAGTGTTTTACTTTATATACATATGCCCATATATAAATAATACAAATGGATTTGCGGAATCCGTATCCGGATTTGTCTGTCACTGTGGCCTCCATGGCGACAGCCACAGGACGCCTGCGCCTACAGAGAGACAATGGGGGGTTTGCGCTGCACCACCCACAGCTCCATCCACACACCCCATATCCTGTGTAAACCCGAAGGAATGAAACCGGGAGGCATGTAGATGGGAGCCACATTTCATCAATGGAGCCGGTCCACACTCCTTCACAGGCAAATACAAGCACGCTGTATTTGGGGAATCAATCGCACACAAGACGGTGGCTGGACCGTAGTTCGCTCCACACTGAGTGCATGGAACCACTCTTCGAGCCTAGCACGGCCACAAGCACGGTACACCGTGTCCCCTCCAGCAATAACCAGCTGTCTGCTGGAGCCAGCAATCGAGGTTGAGGGTATTAGACTAGCAGGCTCCTTGTCAATATTTTCGTCAGGCGCATGTACACCTGGTAGCTCAGTCAGCATCTAATTTCTGAAATGCTTGAATACTCATCACGCATACAAACGTACCATACACGTCGCCTTGTTGGCCTTTATTTGTAAATCTAATAGGTGCGTACGCATCGTGGTTCTCTATCTCGTGCAATCGTGCCTTCTCCTGCACCTGGGCAACCGCCCTTTGATCAGGCCACGGAATTCGCACTGATCAACTTTGCCTTGGATTCGCAACACCTGAAAACAACATTAGTTTGTCATAAACTCACTTTTTTCATGTCCTGTTACTGTTATTTTCCGTTTGTTCGAGTGCCGCTTCATTGCACTGAGTTGGCCGTACAAAAGTGGTATGAGTATCCTCGTCGAATTCATTCGGTATACGTACGTCCATGGATTGTCATCATCCGTGTCCAATGGCAGTTCGAATACAACATATGCTCATGTGCTTGTCCAGACTTAAGTGTGAACTGACACAAACTGGTTAGAGACACATTAGACCTCATGAACAATAGTACGACAGACATTCATGGGATTTCGTTTGGAGGTCAGGTTACCAGCCGTTTACGCACACGTGGGAATAAGTAACCAAAAAGAACAGTTGGTTTTTTTACCATTTAGACGTGAACATGCATGACAGCCTTAAATCTTTGGCATCCATATTTGATCGAAACCGACATAGGAATAGTGATACAACTGCTATCAGTGCGGTTACCAGGTAGAATGCTTAATAAACAAATGGTACAGTAAAATAGTGTGCACTTAGGTGTTGACTCCTATATGCACAGTATGGTTTGCGCAGCTGATGTGGGTGATCGCACAGCGTGCGAATGCGATTGGGTGTTCACTTCAGTCTCTCCGTGTCACCGAACGGTCCGATCATCTGCTGCCCAAGGTACGATTTTTGCCCAACCTTAAACATTAACAGGTGGTAATACCACATATTCGCCGCTTACGGTCTCGTTGGCACGACAACTATCGCCATTCTACATCAACTAATTCCCGTTGCTCACTGTCCAACATGCGGCTTTCCAAACAGTGTTCGCATTGTTTTGCAAATGTCCAAGACGTAGCACAGCTGTCATCCAAGTACTCAACCGTTTGTGCATGCTGCTGTGTACTCTGCTATGGCCATAAGCCATTTGGTAACGCTTTGCATCGTACGTCTCAGATGCAGCCATTCGGTGCTCCTAAAACGATTGTCGGTATGCGCCGATTCATTTCCGATGTAATATACTAAGACACTGACGTACCATTACCGTTGGCATTACCTTTCTCTTAGTTGATTCAGAAGATTGACCATGTCCAATTCAACTTTTGGTAAGCGTCTCTGCACTTCCGCCTTCAATCCGCTTGGTACTTGGGTTTTCATAAGCCCGGTAAATTCAGTCTGGCTGATGGACAACGGGAAATAAAGCTATGCTCACTCTCATCACTAACCTGTGGAGCGGAACATGAACTGTCGACATCATGATAATCGCTAGTCGTTTAACTGTCGGGATTGTACATTTGCCACGGTTTTTCCAGGGTAATTTCTCTTCGGATGCATAGCCTAACGTGGTCACATGAAGGACAATCGTTAGTATTATGTTCAAAATGTCAAATTTTACACTTTGTGCGTAATGTAAGTGGCCAAGCGCTTGTAACCTTTTGATTCAAACGTATACACCGAACTGGAAACACACTCAATAATTTGCCACCCTAGCATTGATCCGTATCGACAGCACAGTTCGCTCGGAAACTCCGCGCGCACGTCAAATACGAATGAGCACATGGATAGACTGAACCTTTATCCGACGATACATCGACTCCCTAAGCGTCGTGCTGGTTAGCATTGGGCAGCTGGTCAAGCTAGGGTCATGTAATCTACAAAACGATTTCAAGGTGCAGAATGTAGATAGCATAGGCCGGTGAGCACTACCATGGAGCTTACATAGTGATGTGAATCGCGGCCGAATTATAATGCGAAGAGGAAGATGCCGTAGCTCGCCGTCTAGATATGTCACCATACTAGACTTCACTTGAAAAGGTAGCAAGAATAGCATAGAGCATGATGAGTACAACAATGCAGTGGGCGACACGTGAACTAACCGCGAAATGCAACCGAGTTAAATAGGCCCTATGAACGTGGGTTAGATATGGCTCATCTGTCCTAGGCACGTGCAATAAAGATACGACATTACACCAAGTCAGTAGTTAATCATTGTAGCATGAAACTGTACCCAAGCGCGACTTACACGAGCGATAGAATAAGTATGACACAAAGAAGAAGACAGAGATGGAGTAAGCAACTATTTAGATTAACAGGGAAATGGTGCGCTTAAGTCCACTGCTATTGATAAACTCAGGTAAGTTAAAGTTCGCGGTGAGAGAACGGGAATTATAACTATGTTCACTTTGACGAAGAAGTAGAAGCACAGTGGAACAGTAATGACTTATCGTTGGTGTGTGCTGTGAATGCCGTCTCCTATATGAATTGTAGGCTATCCGTGTCGGAAGGTAAGCCAGAGCCGGTCCGATCGTCTCTTGTCCGAGGTGAGCGAGAAGTAACGGGTATGTGGAACCACCAGGCAGTCCGTCGTGTGTTACTATTTATTTTCCCCTGGTTGTTCGTTCTGGGCGCTAGCATATCTCCACCAATTCATCAGTACATAGAATGTTACCTGTGCCCAAGCATTTTGTTTGTCACATCATGTTGCCGCTGTCCGTGAATCAACCTTGCTGCCCTGTCTGAATCTCAGTGCGCTTAGCTGAAGGCGGCAGCAGTACAATGGGGCATATAGAGGCACTTGAGATCGGATACATTGAACTCATATTGCAACCCGCAATAAGTCACGGTGTCACACGAGTAGAAATATAGTGAGATTCATCTGTCAAGTGAGAACGTACCGAGACACGAACCGATGCTAGCGCGACTTGTACTTTCGGCGGGCCCTAGTTAGACATTGAGCCATTAGATAATGGTGTTACGCGAGTGAAAATGCGATCAGTCTGTCAAGCTGAAATGTGGCGCTTACTAGTGTTTCTAAATGGTTCCTACTTAGTCATTCAGCATGGTCACGAGCCTTGCCCGCTGCGAGTAGAGATATCAGTTGACATACCAAAGGTCCCTGATTCGAGTTGCAGTACTGCAGTGTTGCGAGCGGGCATTTGTTCACACTTGTGTATGGACTACCACAAACTGGATGGAGAAACAATAACCCTCATGAGCAATAACACTACGAACGTGCATGAGTATGGATTGAAGGTAGCAATACCAACCATATTCCTCTAGTGTTGGAAGATCGCACGTACAATTATAAGCAACCAATACGATTGTTGGTGGTCAGTTAACGTTTAAACGTGAACCTAAATAGCAGCCATAAATTTAGTCAGAAGTGTGGGTATCAACAATAGATAGAGACAGATATAGGAATAGAGAAACAAATGCCATCCATACGGTTACCAGGTCAAATGATGCACAAATAAGAGGTACAGTGAAACAGTGATGTCTTATCGTTAATGTGTGCTTCAGATGCCGTCTGCTATATGCATTAGAAATGGATACTATGACATTCTCTGATAACCGCTTTGACGGGATCACAAGAACAATACATCTAGTAAATCCCACTGCGTCCTGCCGTACATTCGGCTTTCGAAAAAAATGTTCAAACTGTTTTAGCCAACTTACAAGAGGTAGCTTGCATAACATCCAATTACCCAACCGTTTGCAGATGTGGCTGTATACTATGGTATGGTGATAAGCTATTGATGTAAGCGACAGATTCGCTTGGGGCTCGAGTGACACGTAAAAACTCCCGGGTCCAGCCAATAAGGGAAGCCAAGACCTTAACTACGGTACAATTAAACCAAATGGAACTCAAGTGCAATATGTACATACCCCAGTCCTGTTACAACCGGATGCTTGCGAGGCACAGGAGAACGACAAATCAGCTCTTTTAATGGGTCCAACAACCCTATGCGATTGGTTCGCTTTACACCGCATAGGATGGTGGGTATAGTGTGTCTCCGGGCCAATGGGGAATGAAGGGAATAACACAGGGGATGACCTCCTGTGACTGGAGAATATCTCAAGTGGGTATGTGGTGGGACACCTGGGCATGTTACACAGTATGGGCACGAACGTATCTAACAGCGGGGGTTGGAATGGAACCACTTAAATATGGCTAGAAAAACAATATATGTCAAATAATATTATCCTGAGCAAATCTCCATATCCATTGTGCGATTTGCAATGAAAACATTGAGCATTGCATAGTTAATCGCATGGGCGTAGACAAATAATGGGTATAAAGAGCCTCGGCAAATGTTGCAGATAAGGTTTTTAGCTGAACCTATGATCTTTCCATCCGGCCTGCGGTTCTCATGTTAATTTTGCCGCTTCCAGTTCATTAACAGTCTGTTTTCATACATCTCCGTTGCAGCTTTTCTGCGCTGCAAATCAATTGTTTATGTGCGTGAATTTATCTTTCAATGAAATATGTATTAAAGCACTGCCGTACAACCGCAGAGGAACTTACCTACTTCTAGGGCAATCTAGAGGATTGGCCATTTGTAATGCAAATTCTAGCAGGCACCTTTGATCTTCCGCCCATTACCTATATAATAACTGCCTTTTCCCAAGCGCACCTGAGTTCAGTACATCGGATGAATAGCGGGAAATATAGCTACACTCACTCACGTGACTAATATGTAGAATAGAACATGTAGTATCAACGTCATGAAAATCGCTGGTCAGTTACTTGCCGGGATTGTTCACTTTACACGAATGAGCCAACGTTTGGACGGTTACAGCGAAAATTGTTGGTCCTTGAACCCCGAGATTCCAAACTGCACTTCAAAGCGAGGAAGCGTTGTAGAATACTTGGGTTCCAGGGACAATTGTTGGTACGTACACCTAATTCTTCACTCGAATGCAAGAACCAATGTGGAATATTGTAAGCAGCAAGCGCTTGGTAACCTGAAGCTAACACGATTCCAACGCGAGCTGGCTTTTAAGCTGAGAGTGCTGGAGGATAGCCGACTATTATAAGAAATTCTCCTGTGTTCCTTTGAATCCGTCGCACACACGCGTTTCGATGTTCAGCCATTGTGGCCTTTCAACTGTGCATACAGAGTAGGGCTAACAGGACGGCCTATGTGGTTCTGATATCCACAACGAGCAACACTCATATATATATATATATATATATATATATACATATATATATATATCTTCGAAGATAAATTGGGATGTTATAGCAGTTACCGAACTCAAGAAGTAACGCTTACATTATAAACTTTGCAAGCGGCGGGAATTTTGGTACCCACTCAATGCATTTTGCTACAAAACCCACTGACTTACACCCTGGTCGTCACGACCATCGTCTCGGTCCTGTTTGAGAGGGTACCAATGATATGTTGGTTTGTTCACTGTCACGAAGGTTTTGTGTCAACATTTCGGCAGTACGCGCACCAACCGATCGCTCACAAATCTTCATGAGATTATAACTTTCTAATCAATTCCAGAAATGTTCAAGAACTAAAACGGTAACTTACTTCCGAAAGGGCAAGATCATCGGCAACCGTCTTCTCACAATGATTGCTTAGCCACGTGAGGTTGCGCCCTAATAGAAAAAAGTCATCCCGAAATTCTACCCGTCGTTGCAGTCTTTCAACTTCAATATTTCTCCTTGAGAACCATTGAAGTGACGCGTCTTTCAAACTGCCACCCTTAACTCACACACGTTTTGTATGTTACAGTGATTTCAACAAATTCCAACTCCTCTCCATCAACGTTTCTGTGAATTGATAATATCCTGATTGTCTGTGTTGGCTTATAATTTGGATACACGACATGTATTTCAAGTAACATTCTTGTCTGTAATGTGGTATCAGGATTAGTTTACACTTTTTCCATCTTTGAATTTTACTGGTTCAAGCTTTTTGACACACAGATCAACACGCAATAGCGCGACCGTCCTTGTATGCAGCTTTTGTGCAATTCTCCAACTAATTTCACTGGCAACTGTGCATTGATTGAGTCTTCCATGGAAATGTATATTTTCTTCTCCTTGGCTAGTTAAACTTTTTATTCTATTTGTAGGATGCCAAAGTCGGATCGTCACGAAAACCTTCCTTGAACCAAGACAATTTGGTTTCTCATTTTTCCGTGGCTCCCCATACTGTCGCAGACCCAACGTTGCAAACGGAGCTGGAACGTCTTCGTCGGGAGCTAAGCGTCTGGGAACGTATTGCTGAATTTGCTGTCAGACGTCAAGCTGATACACTAGACATTACGAAAGCTGATTACGAACAACAGTTGTCAGATTTACAGGTTCAGCTACTTTCTGCATCGCAGTGAGTCTTGAGCGTTTTTCTGCTACAATCCAACTTTCTGCGGTTTTTCCGTTGCCCTCAACTTCCACACGCTTCCACACCCCAGCAGCTGGCCATTTGGTTGGTTATTTCAACTCTGCGGCTGAGTTCAACATAACTATTTTTTCAAAATCGTATTATGGTACACAGCAGTTATAAATTGGATATTCTCGTTTTCTTCAAGACCCTTCTGTTACGGCATGTTCAGGTAATGAAAAGCATTATCTTGTGTAACGACCACGAATGATCGGAAGATGTTGCAACAGTGACTTAAATAGATTTTCAATTTGGACTGTATATATGTTGATTGGTGTTTCAGTGTGTTATCTGATGCTGCACAGCATATCTTTATCGGGATTTGTGGGACCCCTCGAGAATATGAATACGAAATGCTTAATAGATGTTTTGGATAATAAGAAAAGATGTTTATCATAAGTATAAAGTATGTACACATTTTTATGCCACGTGACGGTTGCTCTGCTCAAGGCTGTTTGGCAATACCGAATGTCTTGGTACTCATGTGAAACTGGAGCAAAAGGGGAACGTGGAAAACGAATATGTAGGAGTAAGCTGCAGTATGAGTAATCGGAACATCGATGATGAAGTCGGAGAATGTAGAGGTGTGTTCAGTTAGCTTCCTCACTTAGTACACACTTGCTTTTTGCAGGGGCCTTCAACTTGGCCGTTGCTGCTGCTTCTTCTTCTTGGATTACTGTATGTTACGCTATTTACAGCGGATATATCCATTTTCTTCTGCTGTTCCCGGAATTTTGTTTATCTGAACCATACTCTGCCGAATTTATGAAATCCTTTCGAAGCGTCGCACGAAGCACATCTTATGCTGAATGCGGTAAAAAGGCCAGCAACCACCAAACGAGTTTTCAAAAAGCATTTTGGTAAAATGCGAAAACATCGCGCAGGTTGGCAAGTTGGCTTCAGACACTGTCCTGTAAATAGAGAACAACTATCACTGATTCTCTCCAGCAATGTGCGCTTTCTCCTTCGTAAAATCGCTGACCTTACTGCCACCAGGTTGCGTATGGAATTTGCAAATACAGGTGTCATGATGCTTCAAGAAAGTTGGCTCCATTCTGACCTTGAGGACGAGGTTATCCAACTCAGTGACTACTCTGTGTCATGAGGTCAGATTGACCTGGAAAGCCGCCTATTTTTGGAGGAGGCGTCGGCAGTTAAATCAATGAACTCTGGTGTAAATCCATAGCCTTGTTTACATACTCAACATCAAAGGTTAGCTGCCATTTAATTGAATGTAAACCAAACTTTTTGAGCGATTTTCATTCTGTAGTTATTGGATATGTCTATATAGCTCCTGACACATCATCGTTTGAATTGAAGAACTTTGCCGTTTATTTTTCCCCAGTGTTACTGCCCAAAATTGCGAGCTCACTCTATATTGTTGTTGTTGATTTTAACAAGAGTGACACAGCATTCATCAAATCTCTCGGTCTGACAAATATGGTGAACTTCGAAACCAGACTGAACGCACAGTTAGGTTTTATTTTCGCAAATAAAACTGTTATTTTCTACACTAAGAGGGGCTCCTCTCGGCAGCTCAGATCACTGCAGATTACTGCAGTCATGTTCTGCTACACCAAGTTCGTCTCTTTGACAAAGAAGTCATTCAAAACCATCAGGGGAAGAGAATGCTGGGCAGGAAATATTGCGGAACTCCAAGCGACGCTGGCTTCAACAGACATTTCGGTTTTCAGGAACGAAAATCTATCTTTGGAATGCGACCACTTGATTGAATACATTAAATTCTGCTTCCATCTGTACTTCCTTGTTGAGACCACCCAACTATGGATAGATAACTTTTCTTCGTCGCTACTGAAACGACTTATTAGAAAGAAAGAACAAGCTTATATATGCAAAATGAGTGCGTATGTTAAAAGACTGGCAATCAAATTCGAGATACAAAGGTTGAACCAGCCTATACATTGAGACAGTGCTGGGCTCATGATTGTCGCAATCTCTGGAGACTTATGAAACACCTCTGTGGACAAAGTTCCTATAAGCTCACTACTAACGTAGATGTGCACAAATTCAACGCTGAATTTTGTTCTTCTTAACAGGTTATTAATTTTTTGCCCTACTTCACCAACACAGGTCAGGTAGTCACTGACATGTTTACTGTTGGCCGAGAACTCAAAAAAAATTGAAGGTAAATAAGGCTACTGACCCGTTGCATTATCACCGTTTGTCCTAAAGCGCTGAGCAGATTATCTTGCGGAACGTCGAACCGCAATTTTCAACCGATGTCTTATGGAGGGCACCATGCCTAACATTTGGAGACGTGTTAGGATAACACCGGTTCCAAAGAAGGACTCTCAAAAGTATTGCACAACAGCATGTACATCGAAGATGTTGTTGATCTTCGAGTAACTACTAGCTCCTTAGATTTTTACACACACCAACTCAGACGATATATAGTTAGCGGCATCCGGTTCCGTATTTGCCTGTCACTGTAGCCTCCATAGGGACAGCCACAGGATGCCTTGCACCTACAGAGGGACCATGGGTGGCTTGCGTTGCACCACTCCCAGCTCCATCCACACACCCCATATCCTGTGTAAACCGGAAGGAATAAGACCGGGAGGCATGTGGATGGGAGCCACGTTTCATCAACGGAGCCGGCCCACACTCCTTCACAGGCAAACACAAGTACGCTGTATTTGGGAATCAATCGCACACAAGACAGTGGCTGGACCGTAGTCCGCTCCACACTGAGTGCATGGAACCACTCTTCGGGCATAGCACGGCCACAAGCACGGTTCACCCTGTCCCCTCCAGCAATGACCAATTGTCTGCTGGAACCAGTATGGACGAGGTAGTGGGTAATAGACAGGTAGGCACGTTGTGAACATACACATCAAGCGCACCCACACCGGGGATGTCAGACAACAGCCAATCACTTGAAACGATGATACCAAATAAAACAAATGGAATAATGCATACACATACGGTGACTTAACTTTTCACTGAGTGTGCGTATGCAATAAATTGGTTACGAACAAATCCGCCATAGGTTCAAAATGTCAGAAAATATATTTGAAGGAAATGCAACAAACGCGAAAATGTTATCGAAGTTAACTACAATTAGCTTAAACGACGTTTGCATGTCAATAGAATATAGTTCAGGTAGATAATAATATGGGATTAAAAAGCATTAGGACAAAATAGCAAATCCACCGCATGAAATAATGATTCAGCATGCAAGCACGCGGTTAGTAAATCGAACGCAGTGTACCAAAACCGCTTCGCCTGTTCTGTAGGACCCGTCATCGTTTCGGTGGTGGCCCCGAGTGGCCTCGCCCATGGCTCACTAGGCCTGCCTGACTCAGACACTCGCGACTGCATGGGCTACGGCACCGTGCGCCCGATGAGAGTAAAACCCATCGGTGCCTGTCGTTCCCGCAATTGCCGCTTCTTCTCTGCGTGCACGAGGGATTTCTCCTGAACCTCGGTAACGGTCTTCATGATCTGATCGCACCATGCACGCCCTTCAACTGCTTCCGATTTCCATGATCTGCAATTAAGATTAGAACGTGGTAAACTCAATTTGATCATGCCCTGGTAACGCCGCTTCGGTTTCCCCACATGCCGCTTCCCCAAACTCAGTTGACCATGTAATAGTTGCTTCGGTATCCGCGTGGAATCCATACGCCACACCTACACACACACACACACACACCTAAGTTGTCTCAGGAAAAGTATGCAGTCCACTGCATACATTCCACTTTAGCGCGGACACTTCCGTGTCCGCAACTCTGTCGCCCCATCCGATTTGCAGAATCCGTCGCAGACACTGTTGATGGAACCGCTCGAGATATCGCACATCCCGTCGGTTCGTTGTCCACATTTCGCTGCCGTATAGAAGAACGGACAGCACCATGGATTTGTACACAATCAGTTTCGTGCCAACGCTAGGTTGATGGTTGTTCCACACGCGGCACTCTAGCTTCCCGAATGCCGCTGCCGCTGACTTTGATACGCGGATACGAAACTCATTATGTAGCTGCTGGTCAGTAGACACCTCACTCCCTGGGTAGCCGAAGTTGAATAGTTGTCTCAAGGACTAGGATTCTCGCGCCTAAACGACGGATGTTCAGCAACCCACCATCAATACGGTGCTCCACACGAACACCGTAAGCACAAGCGGCATCAAAGGCACAATACATCATGGCATGAAGGTAACTAATACACAGGGCAGGACTTAAGACACATCTTTGCTTTACACCAGTGACAACTGTAAAGTCATCCGAGGTCTGTCCACTCAGCTGCGTCCTGGTCCGCATACCGCTGTGCAGACATTCAATAAAATTTACTAAGTTACGCGGGCAACCAAACTTACCCAACACCGGCCACAATGCGTCGCGGTTCACCTTATCAAATGCCTTGGTGGAATCAACAAACAGTGAGTACAACGGCTAGTGCCATTCTCTACACTTCTCCTGCAACTAATGAGCCGTAAGCACCATATTTGTGGTGCTGCGACCCGAACGAAATTCACCTTGCTCTTCCACCACGTTAGGTGGTGGGCAGAACAAACCAAATAAAATGTAATGAATTTTATCCACATTAAAAAGACCTAGTTTAAGTGTAAGTTGGTTTAGCCCAACTGCAGTGAAGAAGCATCATGAATGCAACATCAGCCTCAGCATAGGGCAATATATATATATATATATATATATATATATATATATATATATATATATATATATATATATATATATATATATGGCTTATCACAAGTGGTCTGATCGCCAGATGTTATGTCGATTTTGTAAGATAATGTGTAACACTTAACTGTCGTGAGAACATTCCCTACCAGGTTCAGAGCGTGTGGAGATCGAGCCGAATCATTTTTGTTGCTTGTTTATGATAGCAGCACAAAAACTGCGTACAATTGATGTCGTTGGCAAAATCGTGTGCTTTTCCCAATTTCACTGCGTCATAGGTTTCGTTAACATACACCAAAAACAGTAGGGGACCGAAGACACTACCCTGTACTATATCAATTGCGACTGCTGTTGATTCGGATTTGTTTTTTTTAAATCTGTGCCGGATGTGTTCCGTTCCTAAGGTGCGATTCAAACCACGAACGCAGGAGCTCTCCGATTCCCTATTACATCATTCTGAATACCAGTTTTCCGTGGATCACTTGATGAAATGCTTTGTGCATGCTTTGCATGACGGTGGCAAGCATATCGTTATCCGGTGAGGGAGTCACATGATGTCGCAATTTAATCTGGCACGTCATGCATGAACGAGCATTCAGAAAATCGTGCTGGAAGCCGTTGAGTAACCTTTGCGACAGTAAGAAGTCGACCCTTGTAACTTTTATATGTCTCACCAGGACTAATGTGATCTAAATGATTTGGAATATTGGTAGCTCGGGAGGCTTGCTCAATTGTTGTGGAGTTCTCCGAGCTGGGTAACTTGATTGTAATCAAGTTACCCAGCTCGGCGAACTCCACAACAACTGAATATGTGTTCTATTGGGTGATACTTCTTTGATTCGAAGAGGGATCCTGATTTATGGAGTTGTATGACAATGGCTTCTTTCCACTGTGTTGGTACGATACCATGGCTCATGGATATACTGAATATATTAACTGGCAGTAACAGTGTATTGAGTTTGATAAGCGCATAAGGTACGTTTTCTAATCCGCCCAAGTAGAACAGTTTTGTGCATTTTTTTAAATTTGTGTTTGTGGATAAGTTCAAACTTGACAAGGTTAAGCAGATCACCTATGATTGGTATCATGTCAAACCTTGGAGGGTCATTATCCACCTTAAAGTAGGCGCAGAATCATTTACTAAATATTTCACTGGTGTTGGCAAGGTCAGATATCTGAGGCAACTAGTGAGATCGTGTCCTGACTGCCTTCGCTATTCCTGCACTTTAAAATACTGCAGAGGACCCTTTTTCCATCAGCGATGCGTTTGACGTGACAAGCCAAATGGATAGTTGTGGTCAACTTATGATGTTGTGCCATAAAGGTGAAATCAATTGTTTTACGGGATACCGTTTGCACATTTTTGAACTTTATAGCTGCTTTGTTCCTATGAGAAAAGCATCGATGCATAGTGGGTGAAAGTGTATAACGTATATAGTAATTTTACTGTAGAGAATATCTGCTGCAGCTTGTGAACCACCGTTAAGAAAAGCTGTCCTATTGAGTACACCCCAGGCCCCAGTCGATGCCTTCATATTCCCTGGTATACATCCCTTATGTGAGCACAGTCGATGTTTGCTGTCGTGTGCGATTACTGAATGAAAACGCTTACCAGCAAAGTGCTGTAGATCATCGGCGGATGCTGATAATATACTATTGGTGGATATTAGGTCTGACATATTGGATCCATCCTTGTGCATCTGGAGAGGAAGTGCAATTTGTGTATTTGACCTGTCCCTATTGAAGCCCGCACCTATTAACTTGGCCGGTTTGTCTGCTGCATGACAGCACATATCTTTTGTTGCTTTAATTTCTGTGACCCTGGAATTTGGGTACATGTTTATACAACCGAGGAGTAACATGTGGACTTTAACTTATCGTCAAACACAGTTAGGTACGGGAACATTGGCCGTTTGTGTGCACACGGCATTGTCTACATATACGGTGCAAACACCTAGCTTGACCTTATGACAACCAATAAATGTCTTATAACCCATTATGAGGTGGTTATTCTCGGGAATGTTTCTTGTTAACCACCTTACTGTCACTAGTATGTGTTGTACTTCAAAGATTGAGAAAAGTGAGCGCAGGAACTGGATTTTGTTTTACTTATGCCTGCATTGCGTTGCATAATGCGCTTGGAGAGCGGTTGACAGGGTAAGTTCATTATTTGTGGAAACAGTACTGGGCTATCCACTAAGGAAAATTTTTTATCTCTTTATTGACTGGTTCGGGATTATCGAAAGTATTCGGGCATATCTTTTTGGGCAAAGTGGGTGGGTATGGAGATGAAACTATCATATCCATGGCTAATAAGTTCGGGTGTAGGGACAGTTCACCTCCTTGTGAACTCTGGAATAACGTGGAGTCAGGAATGGGTTGAGGCATTGGGTGTAGCTTGTGACTGGACTGGCATTAGGCCATTCTTGCCATGTAGTTAAATTGAATAAAGAGGGTGACCATGTATTTGATTTCGGATGTACCAGCCTTAGGAATAGCTGTGACACTAACCCCGCTTCCCCTAAAAAATCATCACCTGAAACTGTTGGTTCATGATGGAATGAAGTACAGGGCAGCGTTGATCAATTTTTTGATACCATCATTTTTTTAAACTATTTCGGATGTACGCTGAAGGACAATACATAGGATTGTGCAAGCAATAATTTTTCCTAGTTTCAATCCGTTTGGGGAACTGAGTGACGATTCTGCGGCGATGGCTTTTTCAAAAGAAGTATTGAGAGTGTTTGATGGTCTTAAATTTGGAGATCCTTTGCTGGCATAGATCATTCTCTTGATTAAATTATCGGTCGGCGACCGCACTGTGTTTGCAGCGGTTCGTTTATCACTTGGGAATGGGCCTTGTATTGCACTGTCGCTCATTGTCCTGGTAATCGAACCCTTCACAAATGTTGCTTTATTACTCTGGGATGCTGGTGTAAGTTTAATCTATGTGATATTCGGTCCTGTGAGATGACTGGTCGAAGTATTAGCGGTAGTTCTTTTGTTCCTCGGATCAGGAGAATAACACCTTAAGGTCATAGTATCCTCTGGATTGACCTAGTATTCGCACACCCCGTGGGACAGTGCAACCCTTGTTCATCGGTTTGCCATCAGCCCTGGTCACAAGCGCACCAGTCTGTCGAAACTCACCTGCGGTCTCAGATGCGCGCTCTACGGTCTAAAAACCTGACCGACGACTTCCGTACCAACACCAGTTAGAATCTGCAATCGCACGGTCTTCCAGAGACTGCCTGTGCTCTTCCTAGTATACACATCCCTTTTGGATATATTTTTTCTGCAAGATATTAGCCTCATTATTTCATGCATCAAGAGATGATTCGGAGCCTTCATGAAGTGACTAGTTCTTGGCACGATGCATAACTTACATTATGCGCGATTTTCTCACGTAAATTATCCCTCATTTTCCTGTCACAGGGATTTACTTGAATCACAAAAGCGTTCCTCTCTGCAGTCGGAAGCAGGAGTTTCCGATGCAGGTAATCAAGGCGAATTAGATGCGCTGAAAGCAAATTTTGCAGAGGAAAGAAACAGATCATCTGAACAGATTGCAGCGTATCAAAAATACATCGCTGAGCTTGTGAGTACCTGTTTCTCATTTGAGCTGTGCTGACACAGAATACTCAACACTCTCGACTTTTCATCTTGGTAGGCTTTTTCTTCTCCAGCATGGTGTCTGCGTCCATGTCAAAGGTGTTCACTACCTCGACCTGAATCGTTGAGGGGCTGACACAACCACTGGTAGCTTGTCGCCCCTATTGGCCTTTTTCAGTTTGCTTCTAATGGGATTACTACAGTTGCTATTACTTTTAAGTTGAGCGCCTCCCTCGCTGCGGTTCGCTTGGGCTCTGTATAAGATAATCGATCATTAAACACTGGACTGTTTTTAACTTCAGGGGCAGTTTTGGTTCGACCACCCTGGATGTTCTTATTCGGGTTCAGTTTACCGAAGCAATGGAAACCCTTCCCGTTCTCGAGTTCTGCGTATGAATATGTTTTTGTGATCGAGATGCTTTGGTAATATTAAGTTGGCTTCGATTTTTCCTGCACGCTCCCACTCATTGTACTAATGTGATTGCGCATTAGCTAAAAACGCTGTTGCCAAAATCGCAATTACCTTTTTATGACGAGCGTTTTCCGGTTCTTACTTAGGGTTATCTAACGGGTTCTTTTCACGCTCGTCAAGATGGAAATCACGATGTGACCGAGTGCACTCCACGTTTGGCTGGTTAAGCTAGTTAGCTGAAAATTTAAGGTTCAACCTTCCACAGTTTAGTTGAACCGGATTTGCAAACTATCTTTGAAACTACGGAAACTTTTATCTTTCCTTTGCAGCTAGTAGACCTCGCTGGATGGCGTACCATGTAGCACGGACTTAGTCCTGGTGATTTCTGTGTTGGCTTAAGCTGCTTCCAAACGGTTGTGTGGTTGTGTTTCTGAGGTTTGAACGGAACCATATCTCAGTATAAGAGGTGCACAACAGTTCTCATCGTTTAATTTCATTCCGTGCCATTACCACACAGCTTTTCTAACTAACTTACCCATACTGTATCCTCTGTTGTGACAAGTAAGAGGCGTAAGCACTTATTAGTGGTACAACGAATTTCCAACGAAAATGATTTTTTTCTTTTTCTACTGTCATATTCTCCCACTAGACTTCCTGGATTAGCCACCATGCCAACTATCATTGAGCTGTATTCATTGCTGCATGCTGTTCGCTCACGCATTTCTTCGCTTTCTGATTTGCTCTTTACAAGCGGATGTTTTTCGGAGCTTGTTTTAATCCACATATATAGAGGTTCTCAATCGCCTTCTCATATGCGTGTCTTCTTAAATTTTTCCGGTTCGGTCACTCGATGCACGTCTTTTGAATATGCTTTTTTGTCCTTCCCTATGGTCTAATTGCGTTCTCAGTAGAATGTCATTTTACGGCTTCATTCCATCTATGCTTTATTATTATAAAAGCACACACTTTGTTGTTCGACCCCGTCAAGCCAAGGATTCCTATTCTGATACTTTGCTCTCTTTTTGACTGTCATGTGGGTTCCGCGGTTCACTGACGGTTCATTCTGCCATCCCGCCCAACTTACTAACTAGTCGTTAACAGTCGACATTATTTCTCATCTTCACCATGTTCTCTAGGCTTTCTAGATTTTTGTAAATACGGCGTCTCCGCTGCATCACGTAGAAGTTCCAATGCAATTTTTCCAGTTTGCATCATTTTGATTTTACACCCCTGTTTCTAGACCCTATATAAGCCTATTTCTCGATTAGCTTATCTTATGGTCGTTTATGATGGCGTACTTTCCCTCATTCAATTCCATCACATCCACATTCCATTCAGAGTACTGAGTTGGCCAGGCTTAACACAATGTCCTCCGATACCGCATCGGACCAAACGTCGGGATTACGGAAGCTTGAGGAACAGTTGAAGTTAGCGGACCAGCAACTGACCAAGCTGAGGGTGTGTTTCTGTTCTGATGATTTCCACTTGTTATTCCCACTTGTCTAAACCTCACTAATTTACTGCCTTGCTACCTACCTCGTCATGCTTTTTGTCACTAACATTTTCCGTTTCCGCTCTCCAATCATTCGTTGTGCCCATTCGGCGAACCATCTTCATGAGCATTTTTTGAACACCGTACAGTCTTCTTTTAAACACCTTTACAAAAATCTTACCTCTTGCTAAGGTTGGGTGAAAGTACTCGACCTTGATTAGCCTTTTAGTGGACTGATCATGCTTCACCCCGTTGCCTCACAATACGAATGGAGACATCCGTTGATTTCTCTCGAATGACGCACTGAGTTAACAGGCGGTTGCTTTGTGCTGCATCCAGAGCGGTGGTTCCCATGTAGTGTATTGTATTTATATATAACATAACACTTCCCCCATTTTTTTAACCTGTTTTTATGCACTGACCACGGACACCTGACATTATTAAGTGGTCTCTTCCTTGTCCCTCGATCTTGATTGCTTTGATCATATTATTTGTCGAGTTAGGATTGACGAACCATTTCGGACTCAGTCCCACGGCCCGGTTTGCTAAGAGGTAAACCAAGGTCAAAGTTCTGCTTACATCTCAAATTTCAAACACATCCGGCACCCCGAAACCTAAGCGTGCATCCGCATCTTCTTTGCTCCTTCGTCGACTGATGGTTGCAATAGATTTCGTCCGCACAATTTCACTTGCGCTATACTACTTTTGGCTGAGAAGTAGCCAAATTTGTTCGCGTTCAACTTTTGCCTTATCAAACCCGTTGGCTGTCCGGATGCGTTCTCTGCCACCGCCTCCCACTTGTCATATGCTTTACAAACGTAATCCCACTGTTGATTTCTCAAACGAAACTGTTGTCTACACATTTGGCTCATAAGCGGAAAGCGGTTCCAACAATCGCTATTCATCGGCGTGCCGACGCACACTGCGACTTCGCCTACCTGTGCATCTTGGATGTTCGGATACCTGACCAACGCCAACACCAATGGATTCTCCCAATGCACCTCTGGACAACAATCCTTGATTTCGCCTTAGCAGTATACCAAAACTTTTCATATTCCTATTTAATGGAATGCACAGACTATTCTAAGATTTGCTTGCAATCCGCTCGCATCTTGTCCATCCGGACTACTAATTAAACGGAAAATTCAGGTTTTCAACACGAGTCAGCGTTCGGCTTTCACCATCTACCTCCTATTTGCAGCTTGTATGGTAGGATGGTAATGCGAACCGTGTTTAGCCCTGCATGGCTTACCTCTGCTCTCGAAGCGCAATAATCTAGCATTGACCCTGCATCCGATGGTAACTTCATACTGATTGCCTTACGGCCTCATCGCGACGAGACGGGACGTAATGCTATCGTTTTAGGCCTTTGTATCCCACGTGGCTGCGTTCGCCAGAAGTTTCCATTGGTTTTGTGGGTTATACCAATGGTCAGAGGTTAGACAAGCTCAGTCTCAGCATCCTCATCGATGGTTGAGGGGGGTGGGGCGATAAGTGAACCATAGGAGACTATAATCTACGAATTAATAGGTTCTCTCGATTGGTGTAGGACGCAAGTCCAGCTGACTCCCACGACATTTATTTGTACTTCAAATGCAGGACATCTTTTGGAAATGGACGTATATCGTTGTTTTTATTCGCTACGCCACTACTATTCCCCTTCGTTTTATCCTTTGCTTTGCCTATGAACTTATTTTCTGCTAAAATTTTTTACGAAGAATACGACACTCGTCTCCGCTGAATCCTTCTTGAACGATCAAAAGAACCAGGTTGCTGCGTTGGAAGGCTCCGAGTCGATTCCTGTCTCTCCTCCTTCTCAGCTGAAGGAGCAAGATGCAATTTTACAGCTTCAGATGAATCAGCTAGAGGTTATTTGTAGCGGTTCGGATTGGAACACTACCAGTAAGCTCGAGGCGAGTGGATTCTTTGTTTATCCAATCGCGGTTTTTCTGTTTGTTCTTTATGCGCTCCGGATATATTCCTGCTTCATCCTTATTCTGGATTAAGTATCCTGTTAGAAATCATTGGAGGCTAAGGTTTCTGTTTTCAAGTATCAAGTCAACTGTGAAAGTAGATCTAACTCTCATTGGATAATATCGGGACCATTCATTACTCATTGCCCGTAGAAGTTTGGTTTTGTGCAAAATCATTATCATCACCTTACCTACTCAGCTTCGGATTCGATTTCTTTTTTGATTAGAGCTTGACGAATACTCATTTTACTTCTTTTCATAGTCGGATACCAAGCAAGCTGAAATGGAGGCCATTGTTGACGGTTTACGGACCGAACTTCTACTAGCCACTCGTAAACAGGACGAGTTGGCTTCTTCGTTGGAGATCGCACGTGCATCGAAGGATCAGCTAGTTGCAGAGTTGTTTACCTTACTGGATGAACCATTTTCTACAGTGACTCCATCTATCGATACTTTGATTACAGGAATTCGAATGCGCATTCAAAATTTGTCCACAATTGCGTGAGTTTTCTCTAATTCCCCTTCGATGAAACGAAAACTGTGTTGCCTGATTTATTGATAAATTGTATAGTGACCCAATGACTCTGTCCACCGACATGCTCTTAGCATCTTCAGGATGCATAATAACGTTTCTAGGTACTCCACCATTTACTTGTCTTAGACCTGTACCAACCACCGACTGAAAATAGTTGGTTTGTCCCGATACCTTATGTGATGCATTATTCGCAACTGGGACTTGGCTATTGAAGTTACTTCGTTTGTTACGTGAGCTATCACTATCTTCATGAATCTGCGAAGGCTTTGTACCAAATTGGAACCGTCCTTGTCATGTAGAGGTTTAACCTGGTCTCTTTTGCTTGAAAAATAGTCGTCTTTGGTTATCGTTTACGCCGTATCGCCGGTGTCACTTTACTTGTGAGACCTTTAACCTGCTTTGGGGTCAACAGAGCTGAGCTTCGCTCACCCCATTCGTGCGGTGGTCCGTTTTAGATTCAACTCACCACTCACCTTGTTTTCATCTCAGATCATAACGTCTTCTCAATATTTCTTCTATAATACCCATGCATCACTATCTCTAGTCGTGTGCGACATGCGTGCTCTTTGTCTCCATTTCTCTTCAACTTTACAATTGAGGACGTCCTGTTGATGTTTCTGAAATGCTCCCAAAATCTTGGCGTTGAACTTCCTGGCAATCGCCTGATCGACTGGAGTATGCTGATGATATCACTGCTCGGTGACGATTCACAGAGTGTACAACACTTTTTGAACCGTCTGACGATTGAAGCGTCTAAGTATGGTATGTGCTTTTCCCCCTTGCGTGTAAAATGCTACTCCAGGACTGGAAGTCGTCTGCCCCCTCACCATTGAAGGAGCATAGCTAGATCTTGTGGACAACTTTGTGTGCCTCGGAAGCTGTATTTCTGCTGACGGCAGTATTGGGAAAGTGGTATCACTTCGCATCGCCAAATCCCGGTCGGCATTTACCGACCCGAGTCTCCTTAAAGAGAAGGTCTACATCGCTTGTGTCCGTGCGGTCCCGTTGTACGGAAGTGAGTTCTGGCCGCAATATCTTGGAATATCCTGGGACATATTTCTGAAATGAGTCCTGGCCGATTCGTGTGGAATACGTGCGTTGGCTTTCGGCTTTCGACAGCACATGTTTGCGGCGGATAGCTTTTGTGTGGTGACAGCACCGGCTTCCTAACGATGAAGTCCGGCGTCGCGTCTTTGGAAACATAAGCCTTCCGCTTGATGGCCTTTCCGCGATGCGTCAATTGAGGTGGCTTTGCCACGTTCTACGTATGCAATGTGAGCGCTTGCCACGCGTTACATTATTTGCTCGCACTGGATTGAATTGCAAGAGAAGATGTGGAGATCAGCCAGCCACTTCGCGTCAAATCATGACATCGCTGACTTCCCGTCTCGCCATGTCGGCCCACTAAGTTTTCTTGGTTGGGGGCCCAAGGATGAGGACTGCCAATGCCTCGACATACTTAGTGATCTGGCGCGAAATCGGAATCAATGGAAAGACTGTATATTGAAATGTTTTGAACAATGGGATTAGTACCATACCATTCAAAATGCAAAAAATGGCGTGTGCAAAAGAAAAAGGCCGAAATTATTTGTTCCTTGTTCTTGACATTTGTACTTTTTTATTTTGTTCTTCATAGTTTTTCGATGGCTATATATATATATATATATATATATATATATATATATGGTTGGCGGCATACGGTTTCGGATTTGCCTATCACTGTGGCAAGCCACAGGACGCCTGCGCCTACAGAGGGACCATGGATGGCTTGCGCTGCACCACCCACAGCTCCAACCACACACCTCATATCCAGTGTAAACCCGAAGGAATAAGACCGGGAGGCATGCGGATGGGAGCCACGTTTCATCAACGGAGCCGGCCCACACTCCTTCACAGGCAAACACAAGCACACTGTATTTGGGAATATATATATATATATATATATATATATATATATATATATATATATATATATACTCTTTTAACATCTCTTAAGCTGCCGCTTGTGCAGGTGTGAAATACAAGATGAGATTTCCAACCTATTTGTCTTGAAGTTAACATTCAGGCCGCGTTTGGCTGCAGTTCTGCTAAATACTCTCTGTGGATACAATGAATAAAGCTTGGAAAGAATCACGTCACCTCCGAAATTAGTGCGCACTCGATCTGTGCGATCCAATGATCCGTCGGACAAATCGGTTGCTTCGAAATTTTCATTAACTATCTTCCCGGGTGATCACGATTGTTATCTGGTATCGGGCATATACATCAACCGATGGTATCTACTAGTACGGGTCATGATCTGAGAACTTCCTTGGTATTTTCAGCCTATATTCACACCGGTCTCTACCCATGTAAAATCACTTAGTCTGCTTTTTCCTGAGCGGTGCGCGTATCGTCAGCCTACATGAGGTTGACAACGAAGCATGCCCTCACGAAAATTACTCTCGTTCGCTTAAAATGGGCATTTTATAGGTATATTTCTAATCCTAGCAGTTCGTCGACCCGCTGCTTCCAGTGTTTTACCGTTTATTCATGTCCTTTACGTTTCTTCGTGGCGACCGCTGGGTGCGAATAGGGCTGCACCCTTCTTCTAACTGAGAGCCAGGACATAATTCCGCATGAATCGGTTCACTGACTTATGGTGCACATCCCGATTCCCTTCTGTAGTACATTTCATCGAAGACTGGTTGGGGACCCAAACCTTCCTCCTGTTCAGGTGTGGACCCCCTGGCAGAACACCAGTCCAAAACAAAACCATTAAATGCACAAATATTGATAATGTTATGCTACATCGGCCGTCGCGCATTGGTGGGGAGCGAAAAGGATAGCCTTATATGCTGCATACAGCGGGGTGCGTAAGCGAAAATCTGCCACCCGCTGACACTTTCATTCCTGCTTCTTTCTCTGCACGCTACCTCCCTGTCCCCATTTCGCCTAACCCCCCCCCAATTGCTCCAACACGGGTCACTACACGAGCGACTGCTCAGCTCAATCGTATGCCTTTACGCAAAATGCTTAACATCGGGTGCTGGAACGTACGCACACCATTCGACCGCAAAACGTGTGGGCGTCCCAATCAACGCACAGCCCTGGTCGCGATGGAACTCGCGCGTTGCGGCATTCGCATTGCCGCGCTCAGTGAGACCCCGCTCGCTGAGCAAGGTAAGTTGCATGAAGATGGTGCTTGCTATACGTTCTACTGGGTGGGAAACGTCACCTCAGCACCACGTGAACATGGGGTCGCATTTGCACTATCCGACCTCTAAAATGTCCAACCCATTCTTGATGGCCCTACGCCTATGAATTGGAAGTGGTAAATTTACGACTTTTATTAGCATGTGTGGTCTCACAATGTGTTATCCTGATGACACGAGAGGTCCGTTTTACGCTCGGTCATCCTCTGTGTTACGGTCTGTGCTGAGGAGAGATCGAGTATTCTCACCGGGCTTTGTGTGGACAGACGTTATCGGTCCCTATGATATTGACACAGTCAATAGGAACGGTAACCGGCTGTTCTCATTATGCATCACTCACGGTCTGACCATCACGAACACCTGGTTTGCACTTGTGACGAGTGTGATAGCTCCAGGGAAGCACACAGGTAGTAGTCACATTTACCTGCTCGACTATGTCATCGTACGCCAGCGTGACATGCGTCATTTGCGCATGACACGTGCACTGCGTGGAGCTGGGTGGCACTGATCACAAATTGGCGCGGGCCAAACTGTGCATATATTTCTGTAAATCTATGTATTGATCGCGTGCCGTGAATCGGTGGAAATTTGGTGTTCAATCGCTAGGTACTGCTTAAGGGGTGGTGCTGGCGAACTCGATAAGTACCTGCCTTGGCGGTGTCGAAGTTATCGCTACGGTGAGTGACCTGTGGAACCATATCCTTGAGCCAGTGATCGCTGTGGTCGAGGAAACGGTCAGGCACATTAACTGTAAGCGACTCGATTGATTGTTCGACATCACTTCAACCATTGGTGTCGGAGCGGAATGCAGCTTTCGCTACACATGTGGCGAACCCTGAGAACTGCGAGAAGGATAGTCATTTTCGCCAATTTCGCCCGCGATTGACTCGATAGCTCCTTCGCATCCACAATGCATGGTGGACGCAGAAGGCGGAGCAGATAACTGATACGCCAAACGTCGCCAACCTAAGGATTTCTTTGACTCATGAAAGCGGTGTATAGACCTGTTATGTAGCGCTAAGGACGCTGCTCGATCCTATTTCCCACGCTGTTTACACACAGACTGCAGACATTGGGCGTCCAGGTTTATGAGAAATCACTACTGCATACGTAAACGAAACGTCGGTCGAGAAAGCGACAGGCGCCACTGATGGATAACCCATGGACATCGAGCGCATTATGCTGTAGCACATGCGGTCGCGAGTACCTGAAGCAAGCAGGCTTAGTAAGCCACTAGCGTGTCCACGTTGGACCAACATGTAAGAGTATGTTCAACAAGAGCTTTAGCATGATAGCATCGCACGGCTTATATCCTGAAAAATTTCTCTGTACACTATCAAGTGTGTACTGTAGAGTGCGTGCAAACATATCTACAAAGCATCACGAACATCTGGTATAGTTGGGACAGCAAATTCACCAAAGGGCATACACCGACACACACACAGACAATCACTCACACACTTGTTCGTTTGTCAGCTGGCCTACTACCACAGCAGAGCCAATGTGACGAACGCGTCCTTTTGTACACATAGGGTGGGGCCCATTTGTTCGATGGCCACCGCTTCGCCATATCGTAAAACGTGAGTGTTGTTTGATGCGGAAATCTCCCGGAATGTACACGCAGGGTTCACGTTGTGTCTGTCTGTCAGCAGGTGTCGGGCGATTGACCAGGCTGGAATTTTGTATGGCAAGTCATTAGCCAACGATAATATGCAGAGAAATTTTTCACGTTATAAATCGTTCAGTGCTATCATTTTAACCTTCTTGTTGAAAAATCTTACCGGGAAATAAATGTTTCATTTAAGAGCATGTGATCACCATCAGCGCAGCGCTTGGTACTTACGCTGCTCCTGATTCCATTCAACTTACTAGCCCGAACCAATAATATGGTCTATGTTGGTCTGTACATGTGCGTGCGTGTACAGTTTGTTGCTTGATATCCCCAGTGAGGCTGCGCTCGAGATGATTGTTGACAAAATGCTTATCCGTCTCATACTCTGCACCTCATCTATACTAGCTGCAGGAGACTGTGAAACGATGCTGGATAGGACGGGATGCACAGTCCTCGTGACGATGCATCCAGTGTGGAGCCGGCTACTACCCAACTACCGTCTTGTTTACGTCTGATACGCATGATTCCTAAATTAGCTAGACAGGAACGCTGCTGCTGCTGCTGCTGTGCGTGTTACAAGAGTATGGGCCTGCCCTGTTAATGAAACGTGGCTCCCATCCACATGCCTCCTGGTCTTATTCCTTCGGGTTTACACTGGATATAGGGTGTGTTTGTGGTGCTGCGCAAGCCACCCATGGTCCTTCTGTAAGCGTGGGCAACTTGTGGCTGTGTCGATGGAGGCCGCAGTGCCAAGCAGATCCGGAACCAGATGTCGCAAATTATCTCTCATCAAATGAGAAGCTGTGTGCATTTGGCACAGATCATATATGTTCAGGTAATACCATGCTATTGTATGAGCAATATGCAGTTGTGGGCCTTTTTCTGCCTGTGTTTTTGGCAGTGTTTGTGTTTCATATATTTGTGTTTTATGTTTCATTTTGAGGGTTATTTAAGCATTGTTGGCTGCGTCCAATGCTTGAATGTTTGCGATTTAACCCATCCGACGTTATCTGTGCCCCCGTTGTATAGATCATCAGGTGATCTCCACGAACAAAGTGTCTTCATTTTATCCAGGTCGAGATATTATTACGAAATGATAGCACAGTCTCGCACCACACAATTGTGATTGGGAGCAGCATATCTGATTAGCGAAAATTTGGATCGCACATTTGTCTTGTATCATGGTACAACTAAGGTAAAATCTTTGTTGCGTAGGTCCCGGATGGAACTGTACTGCCATGTTAACGTGGGTAGATTATAATAGGCATTGTTATGAATCAGCTTCTTTAGCAGCATAAACTTATGCCCGATTGTAACAAGGTCCTTTATGTCTGTCGATCTGGTGGGCCAGGTCTCGCAACCATACAGGAGAGTTGAATGGACGGCTACGTTATAAATGTCCTTCAAAGCGAGAGTGATGTCTTGCTGACGCCACAGTTGGCGGAGATTGACAAAAGCACTCCGAACTTTAGCTGTACGGTTCGTGATCTCCTCTTCGATCCTACGGACGCTTGTATACCTGCGGAGGTACTTGAATTTCTTAACGAATTCTAGCTAATCACCATTAAGGGTCAGCGCAAGGGTGGGTCTGTGCAAATCTTGGAGAAGGACTTTGCGTTTCGGGGGCGCGAAGCATAGCCCGAAACGACTGATAACTAGGACCAATCTGTCCAGTGCTGCTTGGCACATTTGGGCGGTGTTACAGATAAAGTCTGTGTCATCAATATACTCTAAGTCAAGAAATCCGTCACCAGGACGTAACTCCACACCTAGTAGGTCGTGTCCAGCGAAGGAACTATCCATGCGTTCATGAATAGGAAATGTTAAATTGGAAACGTGATTGTGGGCAATTTCACCTCACATCGTTGGAGATATTCAAGGTCTGCGGCGACAGTTTGCCATAAACCCTTGCCCTGGCCGAGCTATGCGTGTATCGTGAATGTGCATTTCTCTGGAACTTTCTCCTATCTTTTTTTGCTCATCTGACTGCTATCTTAGCCTAGACGTTTCTGGAATATTCCAGTTATGCAAGCTGGTTTACCTCTTTCTTCCTCTACCATCATGCGCCATCTTCCAGACTCAAGTACTACGTCTAATCAGTTCATCTCTACTTTTCTTACTTTATTTCAGATCTGAAGCCGAAGTTAGCCGCCAAGTTTTGAATTCCCGCATACTTGAACTGGAAGAGGAACGAGCGGAACTGATTCGCGAATTCACACTGCTTAAATCGTCCGCAAGCGCAACTGAGGTCATTCCTATTCCATTATCCGTGTATTTTCAATTGGGTGCTGTTGAACAGGATGATGATGCCGAATTTAAGTTACTCCAGCTTAGTCTTTACCAGAAAAGCTTCTTCTCGCTGATGCGAACACCTAATTTGGACCTGTTCTCTGTGAAGGCTAATGCAGCAGCTTTGACCTGCCTTGATGACATGTTTCCGTGTATCTTCCTGTGTATCATTGCACTTACACTCTTGTAATTCACATACGTATCTAACCTTTATAACTGATCCATCATTCTCAGTGCCATGTCGGCGTTGCTCCAATTGCTCTCGTTTGAACGAGTGTATGTCATCAAAATGAGTTGGGCGATTTGTAGCTATCATTTTCTGACCTGTGCCCTACGCATTCATGCGTAAACCACCCGTGGTTGCATTGTTTATTAGTGTCTTCGCAATTTCACCTCATGCCGTTGTTGGTCAAAGCGGACATTTCTTATCATGGTACATGTCGTATTGAGTACCTAATTATACTCCATGTTTAGTTTCGTCTTTCCTCCTCACCTCGCTGCTTTGCTTAGACATTTCACGTCTTTTTTGTCCTTTAGATATTTTCTTTTCATTTTACAGACCGAAGAAAATGACAGTGAACTTAAGAAGCAGTTGGAAGCAGCTCAGCTAAAGTCAGCCTCTTTGTCATTCATTTCTTAATCTGACCACTTCGTTTGGATATCACTTCATTTTGCCAGGTGTACCTCGTCGTTTTTCATGGTTGCTCGTAATCACGTTGCTGTGTTTTTGCCTTCTGTCTGTTTAGTTGGTCACCGCGACCGACTGCCTTGCACTTTCCGGTTGAATCTTACCGGATGGTTTGTTTTTATAAATAGTGCACTTCATTGCCCCGTTGCTGGACTGTCACTTCAGTTTAAGCACAACGTCTGACTTGTTATAAACGAGCGATACCCTACAGCAGTGGTCCTTTTTTATTTTCGCCTTACTGTTGCTCACATACCCCGCCTAAGGCATACCACGATGTATTCGCCGGTACTGGTACAATCAAATTAAATTGCTGCATCCGATCAAACATCCAGCATTCTTACCTCGATCACTGTACCTGCAGAGCACAATCCTCTTCGCATCAAATAGATTATCCAACAAACAAACTCAGTTCTCTACTTCCATTATTCCTCTGGGCCTGATCAACCTTAGAGGATGTGTCAGTATCGATTCCACGTATGCGGCGTGGCTACCGCAAGGCAGTAGGTGTCTGTTTGAGTCTGAGCAATGGAAGCTGGATCAGCACTGTGGAATGTTGATGGTGAATTTGTCCTCACGTGATGCCCATACATGTCATTTTTTAACACTTTTCATTCATGCCACCACTGCATCTGTTTGGGCACATTTCTGCTTGCTTTTCTAGCATTCGCGTTTATCTTGTATTACTTTATATGTATCCACGGTCTGCTCCGTAGCATAGTCATTACACTCCTATTTCATGGTTTCTTCAGCTCGTGCTGTTTCTTTTCGCATTCTCAGAATCACACACCTAGAAGCCAGCGCAAATGCTGCATTGGGAAATCTGGAGACAAAGTCCTCAGAGCTTTGCACCTTACAGGAACAACTAGAAAAGACCCAAACTGAGGTGAGTTTCAACGCATCTTACACAATGAGCGTTGCTCACCACACCGCTTCGAGTAGTTTACTATTCGACTGTTGCGTTCTGTGTGAATTGACTACATGACATGCGTTGTCTTCCCATTACCCTCACCGGATTCGCCCTCTTGACCCTCTTTTAAAGCATTATTTTAACATTGTGACGCTTAACCATTTGCATACTATAACCTAGTGACTAGAGGCGGCCACTCACTACGGCTGCTTTCTATACACATCAATCAACAGGGACTGTGTTCTACCAGCTTTCCCCCCTTTCCCATTAACGCTTGACCGACAGTTTGCACAACTGCACCAGACACACATGAAGGCACTCGCCAGTCTTGAAGCTGAAAATGCTGAACTTTTGAGACAAATTCAGCTTGCTGAGTCTTCTGGACATACCACCAGTACTCCAGGTGCGTTTTTCAACCGACCCTGCTGTTTTACGCTTGTTATATAAATTTTCCCTCTGCTCCATTTTATCGTGGTTTGTCATGTTGTCACGTAGCCGTTGATTACTCGAATATGCGCTCAAGTGTCATCACCTTATCAAACGCTAACGTGTGAGGTATATATATATATATACATACATATATATATATATATATATATATAATAGACATTGCGTCACAGCACATTGATAAGAGCAACAAAAATAGGGGTGAAAAGGCAATCAGGAGACAGCGTCTCACAACACTTTAACCATAGGTTACGATTCCGGGACATATCCGGTAGTGTTTCCATCTAGGTATGCTTACTGTCCTTGTGCCACCAACCAGTGAGTCTGCAACGCCCCACTGTGGCCAACTGCAATGTCAGCGCTTTGACACCTGAAACCAGGTTGTGTGTCGGCCAATTGTCCGTCGCCTCCAATCAACAACATCCTGTCAGCTATTGAGCAGTCATGCAGAGATCGGGCCCGAACCAACAGCGCGCACTCAAGAAAATTATGTTGGTCGGGTGAGTCTGTCTGACTTCAATATCGGATGTCGAATGTCATCAATAATTATGCGATGCAGCCAACTTACATCAGCGATGCTCCGTAGGCAACATAGGAGGCGCTGTGTCATTCTTTCGTTATAAAGGTGCATTTGAGCATTTCTGTCCTATTATCTCAAGTGAATCGTTTAATTTTTCCGCCCGTATTTAATCGATTTTGACCTGGGGATTTCTAGCGATGCCCCTGAACAACATCGATTTGAGATAGTTCATCACGCTCTACTCTTAGTCAGCAGGCTTAGGCTAGTCTGGAAATGCACCAGACACCGGTGTTTCGACCTTCTGGGTCTCATCAGTAGCGCTCCTTCCAACGGATCCCTGCCAGGATCCGCCCCATGACTTCTGGATGCTAGCAACTAGTGCCACTTCACCATGAGTGACAGCCGCGGACTTGCATGATGAACTATCTCTAATAATATCAAATCCCCACTGTTCATTAGTAACATCGATTTGGTCAGCTACTCGGCACGTTGTGGTCGTCTCTACTAATACGCTTTTTGAAATCGCTTAACGGCTCCATTACTTAAATTTTACTGATTATTGCCTTTGCTTAACTTTTTATCTTGCCTCGTCATATCAACCCTTCGTGTAATATCCGCGACCGTGGCCCCTGTCTTCCCCACTAACTTAACGGTTTCTGCTTAAAAGCTGATGCTATTCGAGGATTTTGTTATTGTTTTTTTGTAACATGCTTCTTAACCTATACGTTTTTACTTGATTTTTTATTGACTCTGAAGCTGTACCTCTTCGGATCCTATCCGTAACTTGATGGCGCGTTTTACATCGCTTGACGTTCACTTCGCTGCACTGATTTCCGTCGGAGACCCAGATTCCCCCTTTGGGATGCCTTCTAACACACCGGTGATTCGGCTTCCTTACTTGCATTTCCACAAACCCTGTTTGTGATATTCCACACTAATCTTCTTACCTGTCTGTTCGCTCTTATGTCTCGATGTATTGCCTCCAGTTCTTTGCACACCGTAGCATTATTCCAATCTTTGAATATCGACCTCTCAGGAATACTAATTCCGTTCAGTTCTATGGGAGGAATCCCGCGTGAAAACGTCTAACTTGATCTACCTGCACTCCTCCGGGTCTATTCTCGAGAAGATCTTGCAATTCTCACCGTTCTTCGAGCCATCTGCACTGCACCGCATTCTACCCTGTCTAAGGTATTTGATTTGTGTGTATGTGCGCGCAAGTGCTTTGGACACACGACCGTAATGCACACCCCAACTCCTCTTTGTTTTCCAGTCATTTTTCGCATAGTTGTAGTCCAGCCAACCGGTTTCACCCGATCAATATGTGATTGTCCTTTTTGGCGCATAGCCAAATTGGCTTTCACACCGCCCATTTAATCACCAGTCCAAAAATTCAACGTAACCACTTTTACCACCTAACACGTCACTTTGTTCTGACGCGTTTCAGCACACGCCCGCTGTCACGATGGCCTCCTTATGGTTGTCGGACGGTGGCATGTGCACGTAATCTGTTTAGTAGTCTATCGCCACACGGATCTGTGTAATACCTGTTTTTCATTATCTGATTGTGATTGGTTTGCTTGTTATTGTACCATTGATGTTGGTAAGCAGGCCGCCCTCCATGTCTGTTCTGAACACGTGCTCAAGGGCCCATGTGCACAGATCCACGGAGGTGGAGATTCAGAGCGAAATCCAAATTTTGAAAAGATACGAAACCGCTCAATTCTTAACCTAATCTCTGTTTGAAGGAGGATCTCGCATTACATCTGCCTTTGCTCCAAATTCGATTTTGGCGCCACACCTAATTCTATCAGCCACTCTCTCTCCCTGCATACACCCTTGTAAATGATGTCTCATGAAGACCTGTGAGTATCGCGTGTGTCCCCTGTGTTCCAGGTATATTTTTCCCCCCTGTACTACTTCATTTGATTCTCCAGTCTCTCTTTGTGCCCGACCATTGATTTCGATGGGCACTGCTGACTCCTTGCTCTGTCATTATCATCAGTACATGTTAGTCGAGGATGAGGAACACACCTCAGCTAAGATGGCACAATGCAAAATGCTGAGAACATGAGCAATGTAGACATAAAAGCTATAAAAAAGTACAATGATGTTAATATCACATTTTTGATAGATGTTGGAGGGAGAATCTAAAAGGAACGGGAAAGACAGACAACCTTGTGTTCGGCTCTTCGTCATGTCAACTAGTGTATCCAACCAAACGTCTTCATCGTGCTTCAGACCCCAGCCAGGAAGTCGGGACACACCAAATTGGAGGTGTGGGATTTTGTTTCTCTTGACCAAATCATCGCTTGACCACCCCTTCTCTTTTTCCCCGGCGCTCAAACAACGCACATCGTTGGAGTCGGTGGGCTGGCATGCGCAACACGTGACCCCGCTATCGGATCCTGTTGCGTAATACAACGATGCTGAGCGGTTCACTCCTTGTTCTGTAGAGATTGTTGGTTCAAGTAACTGGTCAAACGCTCTCAACGCCGACCCTCCTGTGATCTCATGGTTGATTCCCACCAATTTTTCTCCTTATCCTTCTTTCTCCATACTGTCAAGTGCGACTGCCTCCTTCATTTTTTCCAAATATTCACAATGAGGAAATACTGCCGGTTGATTAGTTCCATTACCTGGTTAGTTGCATCCACAGAGAAAACTCGTAAAGGTTTGGGTTGGTCCGCAAGTATGAAAGTCGAAGATATCTTTTCAAGTTTCAACATCAGATGCTCAGGAGAGGTTTGAATGAACACATTGCACGTGCTAATCGACATTATAGATCTGTTTTCTTCATCTCAATGTGTCCATCCGTTTTGCCTGGGCGCTTCTTTGTCCACCGAATGGTTGTCACGTTGGATAATAGCGACGTTTACACTTGATTACGGCGAAGCTGCGTGTTCTTATTCAATCTCATTTCTCAGACTGGTCTTATTTCAACCGGACTGCCTGTTTAAACCTTATGTAGTAGCGAGTTATCTGTTAAGCAAACCTGATTATGGCACGGGATTGTGATAGCTGCAAGCAAGTTCTCTCACCGATACTGCGTTATCTTTGCATGATGGTCAACTGTTTGTGATCGTGCGTAGCTGCTAATAGGTGGGTGCCTCGCTTCCGAATTTTTAGTCAGGATATCTCGGTTTGGCACGAAACCTTCCTCCTATACGCTTGTTCTTAACCAACTGGTTTGCTGTTGTTGCATATCAGGAAAGAAAAGGAAGTCATCAGCAATGCGCCGGTAAACTTCGCTTCCTCGCCACCGCCACTAGTCACGTGGGCTAAGGATACTACTAGGGTCGCGCGGTCCCTACGCAAACACGGACTCACGCTGTCGGATTACAAGGCAGTCTTGTGATCGTTAAGGCTATAAGTACAACGTACTGATGCGCTGTTGTTATCATTCTTCCGGATGTTGACGGATAACTCGGAAATTAATTTGTACATCGGGTACGTGTGTTTGATCATCGTTCACCGAAACTTACTTCCCCTATTCCAAATCTACAGAAGGCAGTCCAGGAACGAAAATTTGTGCTTTGAATCTGTTCGTCTCAGGCTCCCTTTGCACTCCCCCTCCCGAACCGTGTGCGACGCACTACTAAAACACTTGGCACATTGCCATTCCTAACCACTTTGCTATCACTATCTGACGCTGTCAACCTTCGTGACCTAGCTATATCCTAATTAAATCGAATCGCAAGGTTGTGCAATGGACTCCACCTGCTTGTGCGGCTGCTGTGGCATCCATTAATTGTTCATTACATGGGTCCCCTTTAGTTTTTCACTCGCTATTCCCTTCATTATACATTGTAGCCAAATAACCAGTCGAGGCCTTGTGTTGTTTTATTCCCTCCCCAAAACGCTCGATACTATCGAACACACAGACTCTTCCGAAGTCCATCAGGAACTACGGTCGTTCTGAGAACCCTCAAGACCTGGGCTGTTCGTGGTGCACTTCCACGAATTACCACATCGTCGGTTTTATCCACGAAAGCTTCATTTTGCGCCTTGTTCACTGATATTTGCTTCGAAATACCCTACACGGAGGACGTGTTCTAGCGTTCCCACTGTTGTCATCATCGTACACTTGAACGCTCATTGTACAGCGAACACCTTCGTTTTTCTCAACAGAGGGTCCTACGATCACTACTGCTGTTAAATCTCGGCGTTCTATACTCTCTGTTTACATGAGATGCATGTTTTTTTACACTTAATGTTGTTCTTCGTACTAAGCGCGCCTTTATGAATGATGAACTGCAATCTAAGGAACCGCATTTTTCTCAACACATTGCCATTTTCTGTATTGCCCATTGCATAAGACGCATCCTAATTTTTCCCGCGGAACCACCACGCGTGCTCTTCCATTCAGCGTTGTTACTGCTTGGAGAATAGCGCGTTGTTTAACGAAGGCCACCTCAATTGCAGTTTGATTATTACTATTCATCTATCATATTTCTTCTATCAGGTGACGGTCGAGGTACTTTGCCGTCTGAAGAACATGAAGCACTAACTTCCCAAATTGCCTTCCTTAACTCAATCATCGTGGATCTGCACAAGAAGAATGCTGAATTAGAAGAACGTCTTCGTCAGACGCTAGTTGACGTTGAACACAACTCTGCGTAAGTGCTTATTTTTGCTTTCGAACTTCAGCTCCTTGCTTCGTGCGCCGTTTGGACTGTATTCCTTGCTTTCCCTGTCCTGTAGAAAACACTGACACTTTCTTCCCTCCCTTCCCATCCGAATTCACGCTACTTCTGTCCACACTTACACTGCAATTTTTTTTACTCTCTCACCATGACTCACACATCTCTATCACCTGACGTGTACAATATGCAGAGCGAAAGTGTTGTTTTCCACTTGTTTCTCCGTGGCTCACACTGTTTATCCGCTATTTCGCCTGTGATGATGCCTTTGCATTGGTTATACTCTTACAATATGGAGTCTCTTCTTGTTTCTCGAGCGACTACGATTGCTAGCTTCATTTACAATGCTGAGCATCTCTGTCGCTCTAACGCCCGTGATCTAACTGTATACAATAGATAACCATACTTTAAACCATTTCAAACGTGTTTTTGCCCGGACAGTTTTACCGTTCCAATAACTGACACATCACATCGAAGCCATTTTCGTCTAACCACTCTAAAATGAATGTTTGTAATATTTGATCATTCAACCACGAGACTGACAGTCTTGCCAACGTAGGAGCGCGTGTCTACACGGTCCAGCAGATCGGAAGTGATGTATCTCAAGTGCCAATGCGGTGATGCGCGAGAGGACACAGATTATTCCCACTGTGACTGAAACACATGACGTGACACACCGACCTCCACCTCCATTCATGTCCCTGTCATCGTGATTATCGTCCTTGTCCGCTATAAAACGCCAGTCTAATTATATGTCATTCCATCTGACATGGCGCGCAGTTCTTGCACCGAAAACGAACAGTAACCCAACAAACACACCAGTAGCTTGTTTCCTAAAGTTCTCTATCCATTACAAGTGCATTCCAGGATTTCGTATCTCCAGAATCATTCCTAGGTCGAAAAATGGCTATTCATCCTTTCATTGGAACCAGTGTCCTCCTCTAAAATCTCGTCCAGCTCGATTAGAATGCTTCATCGATGGGGAAAAGAGGCTGTTTATCCACTGGCTTGCTATGGCTCGCCTCAAGCCGGTGAGTTGCAGGTGATTTGTTCGCAGACTCACAATGTGGTCAGTGTAGACCATTCGTATGCATTCGATGGCCGTTCGTTGGTTGCCGTAAACTTAGTGTGGATATGGGTGTGTCCAGCTTCAGACAGAGCACCTGCAGGACCCGATGGTCATACTATCGATGTGGACCTGCTCTCTGCTATGGGGATTATGATTCTCCTCTTCAGATTTGTTACTGAACGAATGGAACATTTTTTGTTTTCGCCATTTGAGCGCAGTGTGAAACGCTTGTTCCAATAAGCGCACCGAAAAAAGCAAATTCTCATTTTTCGCAAAACTGTGTGATATTAGATGGTCCATTGTCACCTATCTTCTTCCGTAATTGATGTGCGCAGACATACTCGCACTACTTTTCCCGTAGATCGATCCATTCGGTAGTGAATGATCTAGTTGAAATGAGTTATTTTCTATCAACTTCTATCTGTCATCTTGTGTAAACGTCCTATAATTCTTTCTTAAACACATCCTCTGTGTCCGACTGACATCTTGTTGCTTTCTAATAGACTCGAATAATAATGTTTTGAGCCTCGGGCCCTCTGTATTGGTTTCGGTCTAGACCCGAAGATTAGTACTCCAGCTTGTGTTGTGTGTGCTTGCATCCCTGATTCATCGGTGTCACGCTTTTCGAACACGTACGATTCCGTATTTAGCTAGTCCGGTTTGCCCAAGATGTTAGCTGAGTACGTCTGACTGTCCCATCCGCAACTGATAGCTCACTGCACTTGAACTGTTGCACGGTGCATCAATCTGGAGGGTGATTTGATTCCCCACAGAATCACGAATTCTCGTTTACTGTCGTTTGTACCAGCTGGTTTCTATTTTTCTCACGCTCCCATTAACCGATTGTCAGTGTGTCGGTTATCCCTTCCCGATTTCCGCTGTAGTCGTTTCACTGGAATCAAATCGACATCTCACCCACTTCGACTTTGGTGTGACAATTGTTTGGTATTCGATAGTCATGAAACGGAAAATTGCCCCGTCGGACAAGAATTAGTTGGAACGAAGAGTAGAAACACAAAGAGACTGACATCACGTGCGCATCTCGACATTCGTCAACGTCCTTATTGCGATATTTGTGGCGTGTTCGATAGCCATTGTACGGAAGACTGCAGTGACACTGGAACATTTTAGCAATTTTTCGTTCCATTTCACTGTGAGATTGAATGCGGGCATGCATATGCAACCACCGCGTTTGCCTCATCATCATATCTACAGTGGGAGTACCCAACGGGAAATCAATTACCTTCCAATGCTATCTGGCTTTTTTTGCTGCCCGCCCCATCGGTTCTGATGCTCGCTTCCCACACCCCCTTCTCAGCTGTGCTCTAATCACACGGGGATGAAATGTTTCACTTCACCCGAAGTAATACGGTTCATTTATAGTATTCTCTCATTCAATCGCTCATTTGTATCATACTTTTGAATGTATTCCAAACTCTTGTCCACATTCTCGTTTGCATTCACTATGTCCAGCTTTTCATCGACATATATAAACATAGAGTCTTTACCTTTTGTGTGTTTTTTTATTATGATCGTGTTTCGTTTTAATTTCCTTTTACACTGCGCCTTCAAGGGTTCCGTCCAAACTTCGAGACTATATCTCAGTATAGTGTCTTCATGGCTTATTGGGTTAGAATAAGTGGTACTTTTTAAGTGTCTAGGAGGGTTGCAAATGGATGGTTATCAGAGGAACTCGGACACAATATCTTCCTCGGTGTCCACCCATTTAGACGACGATTTGCCCGGTCCCAAACCCACCTCCATTGGTGTGTAACACGAGCGCCACGTGTTGTTTTCGACGGTAAATGATCGCATTTGTTGTCAACTGGTTTACATTGAAGCTGACCTCAATATGGAGAGTCAGCCGCAGGTGGATAATATGCGGATCCACAGTGTGATTCCCATGCACTTCATTTGTGTACCTCCGGGGAACATTGATCGATTGCCCTGAGCATATTGTGGATCTTCGTGTGACCAATCCCATGCAGGACCCTGTGGGTATGGTATCTATGTGAACTCTCTCTCTCTGCTATTCTGTGAATTGGTCAAGAGCCAGACCTGTACTACTATCGAGTCAGGCCTTTTCTTTCGGATACCGACTGGATCTTATCGTTTAAACCCGGGGCTTCGTTAGCGGTGTTTCCTTTTCCACTCTTATGGAATCTTTTTTCTCTCGCTTAACCAACACCATACTGTCACTGCCTTCCTGTCTATGGTTCGCATGTTGACTTCGTTAATTTTCGATAAGTGATGCTGTTTCATTTAGATGTATTCACCTCTCCTCCCCTGTTATCTCGGTAAACAAGTGGGGCTTGGTCTTGAATCGATGTGCACTGTATCGTTGAGATACGCGTACAAAGTAGAGGCGTTGTACCGAACTTTTTGAGTGTTTGGCTGAACTTCTGTTTAAATTACCTGCATTTTTCCTTGTCAGTTGCATTCCATTGAATAGCCACATGAGCATGGTTTGACTTCCCACCGTTTCTGAAGTTAATGAAATTAACAGGATGGATTCGTTTTACCTTCGATGCCTGCCATATCGATGACACTAATTGTATATCGCTCGCAGCCTTAATATCCTCGCGCTTCTTACTGAAGCAGACGTTCGTATTCCCTTACTGGTAACCAAGAGATAAGACTAGTTACCATCAGATGGGGTCCATCACTGCATGGTTGGGCATCGGTCTAGACTCTAGAACACTCACTTTGTGATTTAGTACTTCCATGTAGAGCACTTCTGTGGTCACCAAGGTCGCGCCATGCCCTCCTGATTGGCTGTTCGAAACCTCACCATCCGATTGACCGATCAAGAATGCAAGGTTTCAAGTACCGATTTGATGGCCGTTGGACACAAAACAGTTACATAGCATAGACTGTCCATATTTGTGTGTTCTTAGTGACTTTGAACGTTTTCTGTTCTCTTCTTAACTTATCCATACTTGCATTAGATTGTCCGAAAACACCTTTTCCTCAAGCAATACGATTATTCTGCCTGATTTCTGGTGAAAGCTTGGAGTTTTGTCCATGGTCCATCATCACCATCACTATACATTAGCTGAAAGTGAGAAGCACACTTCAATTATTGTGTCACAATACAAAAAGATTAGATATTTGACGAAAAATCGAGATACATTGCAGAATACAAAAAACAACTGGTAATATCATCATGCATCATTATGCACGTTAGCTACAGGTGGAAACCACCTCAGATATTGTGCCGCAATATAAAAGAAAATATTGTGACAGAGGCACACTGGCTGAGTCACTATTAACAGATGGACATCGTTCCGGAGAGCTAACAGCCGGCTATTGTGTCCCCAAAAACGAGTTATGTTCTTCCTGAAAATTAGCTCGTGGTTATAGAACGAGGCTAAGCGGGAGGGAGGAGGGACAAAGAAACTCACAATAAAAACGCCATTAAAGTCGGCTCCTAGCCATGTCAACGAGTGTATCCAGCCCAACGTGTTCATCGTCCTTCGGTCCCCAACCAAAGAGTTGAGACGCTCCAACCGAGGCCAGTTCCGAAGTGAGGGCCTTCATTCCTCTTGACGAAGTCCTCGCTTCACCACCCCTCCTCTTCTTCCATCCACATCCCCGGCGCGCAAACAACTCACGTCGCGGGAGCCGGTGGGCTGACATGCGCAACACGTGGCCGAGCCATCGGAGCCTGGTGCGTGAAATAACGGTGCTGAGCTTTTCACTTCTTCCTGTGCCTTAAACAAGACACATACACGCGGTGTTCCTACCAGAGGTGAGCTAAATTGCGAAGGCACCGGTGGTCGAACGAAACTAGCCTCTTTATGTCGGCTGATCTGATGGGCCAGATTTCACAACCGTACAGTAGGATCGAACGTACCGCTGCATTGTACGCTAACCTTCAAGGGGACAGTGATCTCGCGCTGGCTCCATAGGTGGCGGTTTGCGAAAACTCCTGTTGCTTTTGGTATG